CCCATCCTATCCAACCACACATCCACTTACCTACCTACCCTTCATCTGTCCATTCATTCATTCACCCATCCATCCAGTTTCTCCTTATTTACATGCACTGCCCATGCTCTGATGTGAGGTGAGCAGCCAGTCCTCCTTGTAACCCGACCACCATGGCCACTCAATGCTGTTGAGTGGGGAGTAGAGAGGTAGAGATAAGTGTGAAGGGCGGGGAGGGAGGTGTCTGGCCCTTAGGTGCCAGCCTAGGCTGGAAAGGCTGTTCCCCCAAAGATCAGTATAGAAATGTCAGTCAGTCACAGACAGAGTGGGAGACCAGGGCCACTGCGCAGGGCAGGCCTCAAGACACATAGCCTTCTTAATGGGAACTATGCAGAGCCATCCAATGGCAATTCTGGTCCTGGGGAGGCTCAGCCCCATGGTAGGCATGGGGGAAGCTGAGGCCAGAGCTATGTGTACTAGGAAAGAAGAAAAACAGCACAAGTCAGGTCCACTAATCTCCCTTTACTTTGGATCTCCATCAGATCCAGGGATAGGCCCTCAGCTCTTCCTGTCACAGAACCATTGTCTGCTGACTTCCTCCCCAGATTCAGGTCTGGAAGCCAAAACTGCCCAATGATGTGGAAAGAATGGGCATTCCTCTGGCTCAAGATAGTTCAGTGCGCCATAGATCTTCCCTGTGTCCCAGATTGTGTTGGGGATGCTGATACAGACTGTCTCAATCAGTTCTCACAAGCCAGTGGGCAGGACTTGGAAGCTTTAAATAGAGGAAGTGCAGAAAGGTTAACATGCCCATAGCAAGGTACCAAGCTTGGATTTGGTCCTGGGCCTCCTGCCCAAGCCACTAGCCCCCTCTTTCTTTAGCTACTTCTCTCTCAGAGGCTGAAAGGAAAGATGCCTACCTGGCCAATGTCCTGTCATCAGAGGATCAGCTAAGTTTTAAATTTTAAATAAACATTAGGGCTTTTTGCAAACTGATTTAAAAGTTCTACCAAGTAAAATGGCCAGGGAGGAGGTGGTGAGCAGGGCTCATTCTGGGATTTTGTTTTCATACCCTGAAGCACCCAGCCTTGTAAGTCTATCCATGGTCTCCTCCTGCAAAGCAAACAGTGCACTGGTCCCTGCTTGACTGTATTAAAATACCCTTGTGAACCTCATCAGAAGATACGCCAAGCCCAGCACCAGTGGCTCAGGACCAAGCCACCCAGGAAGGAGGGCTGCCTTCAGTGTCATGAGCCCAAGCTTAAGCAGAGGGGCCATCTCATGCTTCAACTTCCCTTCATGCATGCATGCCTTTCCTGGTGACCTTCCCTTGACCACTGTACTGGAAACTGCTCTGAGCATCACATGGCAAACTGAGTCACTTTCCCAGCAGTTGCTAGGGTGAGGGCGAGGGGTGGTGGAGGAGGTGGTGATATAGAAACTTGCTCTAGTCAGTGTTTGCACTTGCCTGGGAACAGGGCAGCTGAGCGTTCCTGGGAAGCCACGGGGGACTCTGGATGGGCTCTCCCACAGAGCCGCCCTGACCTTTTGGATTTAAGATCTAAGCCCTGAGCCTGAGGGAAATGCCCTGATGTAAGTTTCCGTGACAGAAAGCGGCTGCAATGTAGTATCAGGACAAAGCAGAGACTGCCCCAGGGTCACTGGGCAGCTGGGGTGACTGAGAGTCACCAAGGAGCAGAGGCACCCCTGTGAGTGCCTGTGCTGGACTCACCTTCTGAGCAGCTTAGGTGCTGGTAGCCAGAAGGTAGCTGCAGAGGAACTGGGTCCAGTGAGACACAACACTCACAACAGGCAGAGAAGTTTTTCTACTCATTGAAGGCAGCGAGCATAACAGGAGGCAGGGCACTAGGGCACTGGTGCCCAAGGCTCAGTAAGGCAGCCAGGGGAGATGGGTTCTCTCTCAGACATGACCTTGGATTACACAGAGGCTCTGCAGGTGCTTGCTCTGGTGCCATGTAGCTTACTGAGTTTAAGAGTTGCAGAATAATATCTGGTGGAAGGACTACACTGCCTGGGGACTCTAGATTATCTCATCTTAGAACACTGTACTCTCTCTACCCTCCACCTGAGACCAGGAGGCAAAGGTGGACAGCTAGGCCACTGAGGTCTTCCAGGACCTACTGCTTGGAGCCTCAGTCTGCAGCTGTCCTACTCCCTCTGCTCTGTAACACTCCCAGGCTACGTTCAGTCTTTGCTCTCTGACATCCCACAGACAGGCTTAAGTCTTGGGTTCATAGAGGCAACACAGATGAGACAAGGAGCTCCTCAGAAGAAATGAGACCACTTCCATGCCAGCATTGGAGTCAGTCTTTAAGGCTATCCAGAAGCGCTTATCTCAGAGCCCTCAGAGTGCCCTGAAATTGTTATCTTATTTCTCACAATGTCACACAAACCTACCAAATGGTGAAAAAACAAGTTTTCCACCACTAAATACTGAAGTTAGTTTATACACGTGCCCCTACCAAAGGCCAAAGAGCATTCCAATGTCACATGGTAACATTGAAATTCCTGAGCACAACACAGAGAAAGAGAGGCTGGAGACATGGCTCAGAAGTTAAAAGCACTATATACTCCTTGTAAAGGACCTGGGTTTGATTCCCAGTACCAACATGGCAGCTCACAACTGATTGCAACTTCAGTTCCAGGCATCTGACACCCTCTTTTGACTTCTGTGGGCACCATATAGGCCTGTGGTGCACAGATATGTATGCAGACAAAACACCCACATACATAAAACAAAATAAAGTAAAACAAAGTAAGACAGCCTGAAGAACCAGCCTTGGATGGGTAGACAACCTTCCTATAAGGACAGCTTTTCTCCTGGTGTTGGCCTGTCAGCTAAACAGAACCTCCAAATAAATCCCAAAGAACCCCTTGGATATGTGGGCCGGAGGAGTCAAGTTCAATTGCCTAAGAGATTTCTGAATGAGATGAGAGTTGAGCATTTCCTTGCCACACTGAAAACAGAAAATTGAGAACCAGAATACTAGAAGCAAGAGATGCTGACATCAAGGCAGGCAGATCTCTGAGTTTCAGGCCAGCCTGGTCTACAATGAGTTCCAGGACAGCCAGGGATACACAGAGAAACCCTGTCTCAAACAAAACAATACAAAAAAACCCAAATCAACAACAGAATAGAGGGGACTGCTAATGTGAATGGGACAATCCAACACAGAAGCACAGAAAAAAAAAAAGAGTCTCACCTTCAACAAAGTGAGAATTCAGGCCTGTGCATGACTCAACAAGCTAGCCAGCTAAGTCTATCTGATCCCTACCTCATACCACGACCCTGTCAATAAATCCCAAAATGTAGCCAAAGGCAAATTCATGCAAATGCAAATGATCCTGGCCTGAGATGCATTCCTAAGTGTGATTTCCAAGGCTAGAGCACACAAGCTTCTTGGGCTTTAAAGTTAGAAATAATTCTGATTTTTAAAGCTTAAGCTATTTTAAGTCAAAATCAGAAAGCTAATACATTACAAGGCAAATGAGGATATCCAAGGCTTTCTACTTTCAATATGTAAAAATGTTTTACAGATAGGCAGGTGTGGTGGTTCATGCCTTTAATCTCAGCATTTGGGCAGAGGTGGGCAGATCTCTGTCAGTTTGAAGCCAGCCTGTTTTACACAGAAAGTTCCAGAATAGCCAGGGCTATGTAGACAGACCCTTTCTGGAAACAAACCAAACTAAAACAAACAAAAAAATTTTACAGATACAATATTTGAGTTTAACTGCTCCATTAGGCAAAGAACAAAACTGGGGGATAGGGGAATTGCTCAGTGGGAAAAGGGCTGTCCACACCAGCATGGAGATCTGGGTTCATATCCCCAGAGCCCACATCAAGCTGTGTGTGGTAGTGTGTGTCTACAGTCACAATGCTTCTTCAGCAGGTGGCAGGGATAGATAGATTTATTTGCCTGCTGTGCACAGCAGCTCTAATAGGATGGAAAACCAGGACAGACCCCAGAGGTCATCCTCTGACCTCTACATGCTCACTGGTGCACACGTCATGTGTACATATCTACACACACACACACACACACACACACACACACACACACACACACCCCTAAACATTTTTAAAATAATCTAAGGACAGGTGCCACCCCAGGACAGCAAGAACAAATGAAGATGGGTTGTGAGGTGTGAGAGGACATAGAGGTGACCCACTCAGGCAATATCAAAGAAAGATGGGACGGTATGTCAGCTGCTGTGAAATGCTTCCACCCTGAGGACATGAAGTTTCCTACCTTCCTGGGGAAGCAGCTGGGGAGGAGACTAACCAAGTGCATCTCTTTCCAGCCTCTGATTTATGTGCTCTCACAGATCTGCTGATGTTTGTGCTTACATAATACATGCACCAAGGTGCCTTTCTGTGAGACTGCTGTATAGCTGGTAGGCTCAGCTGGCCACTGCCTATCCCGTCTACTCTTCTATGGCAATTTGGTATCAAAGTCCTACAGTAGAGCGAATCAGAGTGAGTCCCAGCAATCCCCTTCTGAGAGCTAGCCCACATGCAGGACATACAGGTGCATATGTGCCACAATGAGACCGGAGTGCAAGCCTCTAGACTGGAGTCTCTCAGGAAGAGGCTGATAACCTTGGAGGTCCATGTGGTTTAGTGAGGGAAACAGCCACACCATCATTTCAAGTGGGAAAAGATGCCCACCCCCCCCCACACACACAAAGAAAAGCATTCAATAGGATGCATGCCAACATGACACCTGGTGATGCAAAGCCAGGTGATGATGGATATCCTTGGGAGAGGCGAGATGACCACGCAACACAGGTCACTACCACTGCCCAAACTTCTGGGTGGAGGCAACTTGGCAGGAGCCAAAAAACACAATGAACAGGCTCTGTGTTTGTGACCAAAGTAAATGAGTAAAAGGTGTGAGGTCACCAGAAACATTTGTTTTCTTTTTTTTTTTTTTTTTGTTTTTATTTTTGCACTCTGCTGTTGCTCAAATGTATCCATACACACCAGGAGAAAGCAGGGCTTCAATTTCAACACTTTATTTCAATGTTTCAAGTTTTTACTGCTGTTTACAAATGTTTCATTTTTAAGGGCCCTTTACAAGTTTGTCTTAATAATGTGGCCCCTGCCCAGAGGCCTGTTTCACATGCCACCAGCCTCACCCTCGGGACTGAGGAGTGGAGTGCATGCACACAAGCAGAGACTTGGGATACAGGCTTCATCCCCTGCAGTCTGACAGAACAGCCATCAAATGGGGTGTCCAAAGAGTGGGTGGATATGAAAACACACACACCTATCTTTTAAAATCTCCATCAAGACCACTTTGTGACTGCACATAAGCTCTTGCGTGTGTGAGCATGCAGTGGAGCATGGTCAACCCACCAGTGGCCACTCTTAAGAGAAAACTGACTCCCCCTCCCTCAGAAGCTGTAGCTGCTGATACAGTTTTCTATCGTTTCAAATCTGTCTGCACCAGCCACCAAAGAAAGCTCTGTAGTCAGACTGCCTGACCCTGGGAACCACATGACTTAACTTAATGCAACACTCTACTGACCTTGGCCACTTCTATGATTCGCTGGTCAGTCTCCAATCAGACACGATAGCACATCAAGCTCCCACACAAAAATATGGTCAGGTGAACAGGTGGCTGAGATGACCATTGTGTGGCAGGAGCCAAGAAGATCTGAGACTTAGTCTTCATTGTTGGGAAAAGCCACAGATCCAGGTGGAGAGGACCATCTGTGAACACATGGTCCCCATGTTCCACAAGGACTCCAGTTGGTGGTCCCTAGAGTCAACCCATGCCATTGTGCTGGGGTGGAACTCTGGGGAGGGGGGGTTAAGCCAGGATGGGGCGGTGGTTGACTAAGAGCAAGGTGGTGAAGAAAGAGGCTCTTGGGCTCAGCAAGCACCCGGGGCTCAGAACACCCCATCAGAAAGGCTATAGGAACCTTCCTACAGCTGGAAGGGATGGCAGCATGGCCCCCGTACCTTTCAGAAGTACAAGGGTCTCACGCTGTGACCAGTGTAGCAGGGTCATGCCATGTGTGAATTCGCTGAGGGATACTTGGTGGGGACAGATAGCACCGGGCATTTCTCCTGTTTTAGAAATAAAAAGGACCGAAACCACTGCCAACCAGTTAGTCACTGACACAGTGGGGATGTCATGGTGAGTAGGCTAGATGTCTCCACCACCATGCACTTCCTCTGTGGGAGCACTTCCTCAGTGGAAACTTCTGGTGCCACCAAAAGAAATAATAAAGCATTTTCCCCAAGAAAATCTTCAAATTATGTCATTCTGATGGTCCATGGTATAGAGCCATAAGTGGCTAGTAAAACCAAGGTATGGCATACCACAGAAGAGTTAAAGAATCAGAGAAGAAAGCTTTGCAAAAATCTCCCATGGACTCCAAAATTCACCTGAGCAGAAGCCTTCATTGTGAGCTCTGACTTCACCTTCCTAACTGTATTCCCAAGAGGGCATGGTTAAAATCCCAAGAGCTTCGGGGCGACATACAGAGCAAACGCCCTGACCCTGCATGTGAGACATTTGAGGATGGGTATGTATGACAGGTTGACTAGGGGCAAGGAAAATATTTGCTGTGTGTGGTTTTCAGCGTGGGTATCTTGGTGTCTCCTGGGTCCAGGCCACTGGATCGGCTGCTTCTGCTGTGGCCACCTCTCCCACCACGTCTACAGCTGGGACTTCAGCCTGTTGGCCACAGGTTTGTTGGCAGTGAACTCAGGCCACCAGGTGGCACGCTCCAGCACACCGTCCTGCTGCAGGATAGCTGACCACAGGTTTTTATAGAGCTGCAGGTAGAAGTAGAGGCTGTAATTAGCAGAGGATAAATGGCCACTGTGACAGTGTGATAGCCTCTGGTTTGTGAGAACAGGAAATTCTTCACTGTCTCTTTTTTTGGAGATGTTAAGATGATATGTGTTTGAATTATATAAGCCTTTTATTTTTTAGTAGGAAGTAATTAAGGAAATTTAATTATGAAGTACCATAAAAGTGTTTCTGATGGGAACCATCCCCTTGTGAAATGTTCCTTCCCTGGGAAGTCTCTGCCTACGGTGGCCACCCCTACATCCACATAGGCTCCTTGCCCCTACTCCTACCCTCACCTCCCACATTTGCCAGGACATGTTGTCTTCTCTGAGACCTGTCCCCACTACCTTACAGCTCAGGATGCACAAGCCAGGAGATCGGAGCAGGGTCGGGGGCTTGGGTCCCCAATGGCCCCACTAGAGTCTTAGCTATTCTTAGCCACAGTTCCTCAGTGGAAAACAGGTAAAGTGGGTGCTATCTGGAGGGAAGGTACAGACCTGGGGTATCCTACACCTGCTGCAGACATGGACACCTTGGGCAGAGTCAGCTAGGGCAGAGCCGTAACACAGCAGATGGCTTAGAGGGACCCAGGGCTGCGAGCTACTCTCTTACACTGCAGACCCGGCCTGCTCCCCCATGGAGTGTGAACTCGGCCACATTTCACAGTGCTGCCCTCTGTGATCTCTCAGATCCCCACCTGAGTTTGCATATCAGAACCTGTGTCTACCTATGAGAGCTGGGTCAGAGCACCACTTACTTATGCTGCCCAGTGTGTGCAGTTAGTCACCCTGCCAGGCAGTGCCTGGGGGCCATGGACTGAGCTGCAGCACTCAGACCAGAAGTCCCTTTCCATCCAGGGACAGCTGCTCTCCACCTTCAGCAGGTCCTGATCACAGGGCACATGCTACAGTTCCTTCTTCAGGTGCCATGTAGTGTCCTATCATGCAAGTCCTTCTTACAAATGCCTGAGAGGCCTGTCTGCCTGAGGGGATTCAAGTGAGGCAAGCCCTACTCCTCAGTGCTCTGTCCATCAACCGGGCCCAGATCTCTGCCCATGATAGACTGTGCTGTGCATGGACCACCTGGCAGGCTTCTCTGCACCTTGGGCTCTTATAAATATGATGTGGTAACACAGCGAGCCATTGGCCCTGCCTGCAGATGCTCCTGATGCATCTGGGAATGCTTTGCTCAGCCCTGGTTCATATCTGCTCCCTGGATGCCCATCCCAATGCACATGCGGCCTGAGTATGCCGATCTTGGGGTTCAGACTGCCCCAGACAGGCTTTTCCCAGGCTTATGAAGCACTGAATCCAATGGTGCTTGAAGACAGTGGGCTCCATTCCCTCACTATTGTTCTCCATCTCACAGATGGCCACCTGTGGTCCTGGGATGAACTGGGTCCCATCCCATAGCTCACAACCATCAGACCTCAAGCACGTGACTGGAACACCTTGCAATGTCATGTTGCCAGAATAATGGAGGCTTAGCCCCGTGGGTAGCAAGGTACTGTGGAAATGCCAGGCTATAAGTGTCTCCCTACATGAGCATCACCTTGTGGTAGGGTGTCACACAGGAAGTTACTTCTGAGCTATCAGGACCACCTGACAGAAGAACGGGTGTTTGTGTGAGGGGGACAGAGCTGGTGGGGCTCAAGCTAGGTTGAGCGAACAGAAGGGTACTCCAGACAGTGGCATAGCATATGCAGGGACCTTGTGGTAGGAACCAGCCCAGCACACTAGAACAGAGGGTAGAATGGGGGGCTGGGTTTGGAGGGTCAGAGAAGCACAGTATAAAAGGACAGAAGCAACAGAGGTAGGCATGGCAGGGCAGGGCAGGAGGGTGCAGCAGGGGCAGAGAGTTCAGGTGCTTCTTGGATGCCTGGTTGCTGTCGGATGGGACATCCTGTGGATGGAGAGGTCTAGCCCACTAACTGCTTCTGAAGAAACCATTATAGAATTTGGTAGCGAGTGGGCTAAGGAAGTTAAGTGAGGGTTGTGGGGGCTGTTCAGGTAGGTACAGAGGGACAGCGGCCCCCTCAGTTGGGATGGCCAGGGTGGGTAATGGTATCTGTGACTGAGTTGCAGGGCCCCATGTAGAAAGCAGGCAGGGAGGAGCAAGGAGGCTGAGACCTCAATCCTCACAGAGGAACTATATGTCACCCCGGGGCAGCAGTGCAATTTCCTTGTTCCATAGGGTAAAGGGCCATCAGGAATGGGTACAAGAGCTGTGACACCACTGGTTTTTCTTGTCACCAGAAAGCCTCCCCAACATGTAAGACAATTTCCAGGAAGGTACCCAACTCTGTTCACTACCTTAGGACACACACAGACTCCAGTCAAGCCTCAATGGCCACAGGGGGCATTCCCCTTACCTCACCATCAGCTTTGCCAATTGGGGAGCCCAGAACAAAGTCAGAAGGGGCGATCACGTCCACCAAGGCCACCGCATCATCTTTCAGCTGTTGGGAAACAAAGTCCGTCCACTTGGCAACGCCCTACAGTCTCCAGGGCAACCGCAGAGTAACAGAGCCACTCAGCTGGTTGCTACAGAGCACTGGAAACCTGAGCAGGCGCACAGTGCTCCGAGGCCTCACAGGTCTGGGTTATAGACTCCCTGGGTGTGTGTTTGCATTTTTCTACCATGTCGCCACTCACTCAGGACAGCCAGCGTTTTGCTATTGCAGCAAGGCTGCGGAGCTGGCAGAGGTGACGGTGCAGCTTGTTTGTGTCCCCTGACGCTCATCCCCAGCCTATGGCCAATCTGGCGACTGCTGTTCTAAAGCAGGAAAGGAAGTCCAGAAGCCACAAGGGCAAAAAGTGCTCCTGCGCTCCTGTGAAAGCTATCATACACTTGCAGCTGAGGCGGCAGTTCCCTGACCCCTGCTTCCTCACACAGACTATTATTAAGCCCCACAGAGCAATATGCTGTGGAGACACCCAAGGATTTTCTTGAAATGAAAACAATCTTTTTTTCTTCAAATAACTCCTGCCAAGCACACTGAAATTTAAGTTAACGTTTGGGTGATGGCAGAATGCAAGCAAGCAGATAACTCTAAGATAACGGTGGGGGCTACACAGTGTGGACAGAGAGGATCCCGAAAAAGGTGATCTGACTCACCTGCATACACAGTGCCAAGATGGCATCCTCCATCGCTCTTCCTGCTTGTTCACCAGAAATGTAGCCACCTGCAAGCATAACCTTGTCACACATCCCTCAGCCCTGTGGCCACAGCCCATCAGAAGTGGCTTTTCCACTCAGCCTCATTCAGCCTTTTGGACAGAGGTGTCAGGGTATCACAGGACTGACTAGCCTACTGTGTCACACAAGAAATGTGCTCGTTCAGGGCCAGTTCTGAGGTTCCTTGTCCCTGGGCATGGTGTCAGTCCTGGCTAAGAAGCTGTGAGGGAGACCAGGACCTGAGGCTTGGGGCTGGGTGGAATCCTATCATAGGAGGGACACGGAGTACACAGGTAGGCAGGTGTCAGGATCAGACTGCACAGGTGCCCAGATGCACTGCAGGTGGATATGAGGAGCTGGCAGCCAAGAGGGGTCATGGGGCTGTGGTGTGTGGGGCACACAGGCCTCTGAAGCCACCAGGGGACAGAGTAAGAGACCCAGCCCCTCAGTGTCACTTCAAGCCCACAGCAGCCTTCCTGTAGAACTTCTACAGTGATTTGTGCAGCTGGGAATGTACTGGTGGCAGGAGCTTCTCTGTGATGACTTTCACTAAAGAGAAAGGTACCTGGTCACTAGACTTTCTCAGCTGAGGTCTAAGTTCCAGTCTCACCTTGGTAGAGCAGGGCTGTATGCTGGCTCAGGGACCACAGGCCATAGAGTGTGCTGAGCCGCTTAAGCACAGCCTGCAGAGATGGAGGCACGCTGGAGCTGTGTGTGTGCACGTGGAATCGCTGCACCACAGTGAGCTCCAAGAAGACCAGGGCCAGGGGCCGACAGTAGTACACCTGCAAATGGAACAAAGGCCTGGTGTGTGCCGGAGGTAGCCAATCACTATGACTGTACAACTGGGTCTCATATGAGAAGGGACTACAGGGAACTGTAGACTGAAGTCCATGTTCAAACAGTCATCCTAGGTCAGTATGTGAGGCTAAGCAGCATGGTCTTTCTGACAATTCACTGGTTGTTTTGCTTGGGTGGCATTCCCTTACTGTACACACACACACACACACACACACACACACACACACACACACACACACAATATTGGAGTGAAGCTAAGCCCGGTGAAGGGAAGGCTATAACATTTACACACTCCAAGACAGCCCACTTTTACTTGGCCCCATGCCCAACTCTCAAGAGAATAGAGGCCCAACAGGCTGTCACAACAGCACTGTGACACCAACAAGTAGTCCAGGGCACAGGATCTGTCCTCCTGTGTGGCTAGGGGTGGCAGAGGAGCACAGGTTCTACTGGACAGGGCTAATGCTGCACTGTTCTCCAGGGCTTCTGAAATGCAGTCCCCTGTTTCTAAACTGTGTGTGAGATTGATGAGCGGCTGCAGGCCCTCTCCAGCCACAGACTGATCACCTCTCTAGGGAGTCTAGCCAATAAAGACCCCTTGGGGGCTGTCAGCACATCTTTCCCTGCCCCTAATGCACTGCCTCGCCTGAACTTTTAAATCCACAGAGGAAGCCAGGCGGTAGTGGCACACGCCTTTAATCCCAGCACTTGGGAGGCAGAGGCAGGCAAATCTCTGTGAGTTCAAGACCAGCCTAGTCTACAAGAGCTAGTTCCAGGGCAGCCTCTAAAGTCACAGAGAAACCCTGTCTTGAAAACAAAACAAAACAAAAACAACAAAATCCACAGAGGATTTAAATCCACGCATGTGCTGCTTGATTGTGAACCCAAGCACAGGCTGCTTCAGGGGTGGGGGTGGGGATACGAAGCCAGGTGGCCAGAGAGTAGGAGGTACTGTGACCTTTCCCAACTGAAGATGGTGGCTGAGAAGTATTGGACAGTGAGGGGTGAGAAGGGGTGGGGACAGGCTGTGGAGGCACTGCCTCATTGACAGCCCTTACTGTGGGTCCAGGTTCTAACACCTCACACTCCACTCCAGCTGTTGCTGTTCTGGTTTCCAGCAGCCACCACTTGGCACTGTATCTTCATCTCTCCCACAGGCAGCAAGACTGGGTGTTAATACTTTACAGGGTGTAAGGGTCCAGCCTGCAACTGCCAGGACGTTGACTTCCCACAACAGACACCAGAGCAATAGAACAGATGCAAACTGTAAAACAAACCTACCTGGCTGTGGTTTCTTGCTTCAAAGTCACTGCCTCTAGACTTTTTCTCTTGACAGAATTTCTGATGACTTCCTTGGAGCAGGTAGCAGACAAGCCAGTGGTATGCTGCCAGGAGAGCTTTGGAGGGGACACAAGAAACAACTGAGGGCACTTGTCACCACACCTGTAACCCTGGGCATACAACACTGATGGCCATATATACCCAGGTGGTCTTCATGAGGACAGTAGAGGATGGGCAGTTTTGCAGAGAGAGAAATCCAGTCACTGAGGGTAGCTGCCCGAGGCCCTCTACCAGACAGAGTTGACAGGGTGGTTGTGACTGACAACATTCTCACACTGTCATTGCAGCTTTGAGACCGCAGATCACAGAGCCACTCAGCCAGCTAAGACACAGTGACTGCTCTTTCAGGGGCACTGAGGCCAGCATGGGCATCAGGGTGCCTAGTTGCTAAGAATGGCCAGGGGCTAAGGGGATAGACACCTGTATTCCCCATCCATAGCCTTACTGGTCAGCTAGAGGGCTATAGGTTGGCACTTGCCCTGCTAAGGTCTCATCCTGGCATGCTGTTATCTACAAGCTCCCCACTGGCAGCAGAGAGCTAATTACAGAGGAAAGAGCCAGGGCTGGTTGCTGGGACCTGGCCAGGGAAATGGCAGAGAGGCAGAAGGAGGGCTCATCCTTCCTGCCATACCTGAGCTGACTTCCCACACTACTCAGGACATAGGGCACTGGTGAGTGAGGACACACAGCCTTGAAGGGGAAATAGGTTCTGACGAGCTACATGGTGGAGTCCATGCTCTCCATACCCTACATCCCAGGGTAAAAAGGCTCAGCACCTGATCCAAAGGACCTGCGGGTTTCATGGACCAAGGAGCAAGGGTACTTCTGGTAGGTAGCTGGTCATGGTCAGAGCCCGTGGCGAGGAAATAGGGGTCTGGCCACATCAGGTTGGGTCTATTTCCTCTGGTGTCACAGAGCCTGTTCCCAGGAAAATGATGATCACATCTGTTTGTGATAGCCTCATAGAGGTCTAGTGTAGGGGAAGCTGTAGCCACGCCTTCTTAGGGGCTGGCTACAGGTGTGCCTGACCAGGCTTGTGAGGGCGTGATCAGAGTGACGTAGTGTGACTGCGTTCGCGGTTTCGGTCTCTCTTTGGTACTTGCTGTACAGGCTGCTGACCCACCGGCTGGCTAGGTCGCTCTGTAAGTTAAGGCTTTTCCCTATTAAATACCCTTATATTTCTACCTGACTCTGTATTGGTAATTTCCCACTATAGTCTAGCAGCTCACTCATGGCCACACAGCAATCATGAGGGAAGCTGCAGTGGAAAGGCAGGCTGCTGTAACTTCAGTCTTAGGTGTTCTAAGGAGCAGGTGAGGCTGGGCTAGGGTCTGGGGTGGTATTCCCTTCTCAGGGTCCTTCCAGGTGCAGTGCAAACATGTGGTCCCCAAATGTCTTTCAAGTTTTTGACCTCTAGAATCTGTTACTGGCTTTATTAAAAGGGTCTTTGCAGGTGGGAAGAAGTATCTAATAAAGTGAGGTCACCCTGGACTAGGCCAGGCCTCACCTCCAATAACAGGGGTCCTTATGCAGAGACAAAGGATATCCTGTGACAACAGACGCAGAGGGTGAAGTGTCACAGCCACAAACCAAGAGTGCCCCCAGGATCAGGGAAAGGCAAGGAAGGATAACTTGATTTTGGATGTCTACTTTTAAACTGTGAGACAGTGGATGTCTGATCCTCTCAGTACGCAGATAACCTCAGGACAGGATCCAGGGCTGCCTGATAGCCATCCTTGAACCTTAAATGTCATCCTTAGAATGCCAAAAATCGGCATCAACTTCTGGGGGCCACAGCCAAGGCTGGGGTGATGTCCATTCATTCTTAGTTCATGTGACACACTGTTTCCCAGCTCCTCCCAAAGGATCAAGTCATGGGCAGGAGGAAGGTGGGTGCCACAGAGAAATCTTTCCAAGATTTACAGACAGCAACAAAACCAAGGAAATACTGCAAGCCAGAAAAGCACCCCCTGCCACCATCAATGGCCACCCCAGTGTAAGTGCTACCACCCTTCCCTGTGGCCAGGCTCATTCCTGGGGCAATGACAGGAAAAGCAGGGCACTGGAGGGGAGAATGCTAGTACCTGCGGAGTCCAGCCAGTCTGCTTTGCTGGAGCCCATGAACTTCTGGCCCAAGATTCCAGGATACGCTTCCAGAAAGTCCACTGTCTTGAGAGGGCTTGTGAAGGCAGCTCCATCTAGGGCACACACTTCTGTGACTCAGGAGAAAGGCAGGGAGCCCCTATCCACAGAGCCTAACCTGCTAGCTCATCCATCTCTGGCTAAGCATCCCCATTCTGCCTGCACCTAGGAAGCTCCTCCACTACCAGATGACTTTATTCACCCTGCAGATGGCCCATCTTTGCTTTAGCTTTTTATTTTTGAGATAGCATCCCTCCTTCTTTCTTTCTTTCTTTCCTTCCTTCCTTCCTTCCTTCCTTCCTTCCTTCCTTCCTTCTTTGTTGTTGTTTTTGGTTTTTGGAGGCAAGGTTTCTCTGTGTAGCCTTGGCTGTCCTGGAACTTGTTCTATAGTTCTATAGTCCAGGTTGGCTTCAAACTCACAGAGATCCACCTGCCTCTGCCTCCTAAGTGCTGGGATTAAAAGCACGTACCACCACTGCCTGGTGAGACAATGTTTTGACTTTAACTTGAGATGTTCCCCCTTCCCTGGCCCCCTGAGAACTCAGATTATGGGACTGCACCACCATGCCTGGCTTGAGGACATATATTGACACAAACTTGGAATCCCCAGAGCCTGAGAGAGTCCTGTGCCCTGTTGAGCTCAGCCTCCCACAGAAATGCCTACCTTGGAGCCGGTGCTCCAGGAGGCTCAACAGGTAGTTGCTGGTCTGCTGTAGTAGGACGTTGTTGTCACCCTCATAGGTGCAGTTTGGATCATTGTCATTTCTGAGGTCACCAAGCCGATTTACTGCAAAAACACCACAGGGTCATCCAAGGTGCTCTGAGAGGTGCCCCCACACACACAGGCCCACCCATCCAGGGGCAGGAAGTGCTGGCCTCCCTGCCCCTTGGCCCACATCTGCTGGCTGTGTCCTGGCTGTTCCCCATCCTTAAGTAAGAAAAGTCACCTCCAGGAAGGCTATGGGATGGCACAAGAACAATTAGTACAGGGTTTGGCGGCAGTAAGGACCTAGGACTGTCACCTTTCTGCTTGTTGGTATTACCTGAAGAATCACCTAGCAGAGCTTCCCCAGAGTGTGGGGACCACTCCAGAGACAGGACATGGGGCTACTCTTTTATAGCAATTTGAAACCTTAAAAATCTTATTTCTGACCAAAGATTTTTCACACAATCTCCTGCTATGTGAACAGCTAAGGCCTGCATGCACTTCATGAGATGCACTTTGCCCATGGTCTGCCTCAGGCAAGCCATCCAGAACCGGCATTGCAGCCCTTCCTCTCTGATGGAAAATATTCCCTTTGAGGCAGATGGAGAAGCCAGTCCAGCCCCTCCATGCTATAGCTAACCCTCTAGGTAAAGGCCTGGGGTTAGACCTCCTGGGGAATCAGACAGCTGACATGTAACCTTGATATAGCTCTTTATATTCCTGTTGACTTTGGTCCATGCATCCTGACTGGTAAGTCATGAGCTGTGAGTCAGTCATGGTTGCGTCTGTAGTACTTCAAGATGTAATTTCCTTATTCTATTTAAAACCGGACCAAAGCTAAACTTTATGTGTTTTTGTGAGTTATAACAACAAATAAAAGCCCTACCAAGAACACTGTAGAAAGGACAAAAACAGGCAAATAAATAACTCAGACATGGTCATTGTGAGGTAGTGCTAGGAAGAAACATCGTGGAGGAGTGGAGGCCACACCAGAATAAGCTGAGTAGCAGGGGCAGGCTACTGGGAGTATCAAATCCAGAGTATCACAGGAACATCCACAGCTCCACAGCAGCCCGAATCATCTCTCTGGCCACTGAAGGGCTGGCAGTTCTGCACTGTGTGCAGCAGCAGTGGCCAGCTTTGAGCAGTCAGTTATTGTTAGTCATTTCTGATGTGAACAGCAGAAGTCTGCAGGTGAGTGGCAGAGCGTGGAGGTCAGAGTAACCATTCTAAATTAATGCTAAAGAAGTTATTACCTGGCCATTGTATACTAGTACTGTATACTAACTATAGTGCTATAGGCGCAGTCCTCTAGTCAGTTATATGCACTGACTCCTTGGAAGAACCTACATGCTGTGTGTATAATTCTATCATCTTCTAACAAGAAAACTGAGGCATAGTGAAGGTAACCTGTCCAGTTACCATGGAGACCACACCAAGCTCTGACTGGGCCAGCTGGTTGCTCACCAGCAGTCATGTACCAGCTGCTTGTGTGATGTGTAGTTTCAGAACTACATTAAAACCAATGCTGGCTTCCAACAAGTCACCAGCCAAATGTCACACTGAAGTAACCTGCTAATTCTGCTCAGGGGCATGCTGGGATTACACATATTTCACATTTCCTCATTATCCCAACTTTTGACCAGGAAGCATGAAGCACCAGAAAGTGGTATCTGGGTAGGACAGGGGTTGGTGAACTTGCCCTGTGACAGGCCAGAGGGTAAATATTTCAGGTCTCTGCTGTGAGGACTTAGCACTGCTGCTTCAATGTGGAAACAGCCAGAGAAAGTGTGTGCCTGAGTGGGTATGGCTGTATCCCAATACAATCTTATCAGAAAAACAGGCTGCCCTTTGTGGAACCCTAATCTCATAAGCAATGGGAGAACCAAGGACAGAAAACTGCTCCAAACTAACCCAAACTTACTGTGCAGATAGCCGTGTCCCCCGCATGCTTCACGGCACTCCTGGATTCCTCGTTGAGCTGTCCACGAGGCTAGGGGCTTGCCAGCCGATGCCAGTGCATGGATCTCACGTCCAAGCTCTGCCTGTGGGAGACATCCCAGTGAGAAGAGGTGAAGACAGACTCTGACCATGCATGTCAGGCCCTAGCTTCAGCGCTGGTGAAAAGGAAATCCAGCATTGCACAGGTTCACAGCATGAGAATAAGTGCATCACAGCTCTGTATGGAAAATACATCTCAAGGGCAGCATATCCATTACAGACCATTAGACTCGGCTCCTGCTAAGTTCATGGATGTGTAGTGAACATGACCATCTGCAGAGAAGGCCACAAGATTAGCACAACACCAAGCCAGTGCAGCCTTCTAAAGAGAGGGAAGTCTAGGACCATAGTCATGCAGATGTTTGATGATGGCTTAGCAGCATGGGCACCCCTGGGCTTTCTTCCTGAAGCACAAACACATCCTCATTTCTACTTCCTTGAATGCAATGCCTGCTACACAATATGACTCCTTTAGCCAACTGTGTCTGCTAAGGAGAGTTTCAGTTACCACTGTGCCTGGCTAGGTTCAACCACAGGGTTTCAGAAAGAAAAAAAACAGAAGAGTGTCAGCAGGCAGGTTACAGACTCACTAGAGAAAGCATGTAGACTGTTCCTATCCAGGGAACCATGCCAGCATGTGCAATGCTCCAACCTCTCACTCCAGATCAGTGCTGGGCATCCCAGTGCAACTCATCTGACAAGCTGTTTAGGACAGAGTACATAGCCACAGTCTGCAGCACTTCTAATCTGCTTCTAGACCCGTGTCTTTTGATTGACATCTGATTTCCACTAAGGGAGCAGCACAAGGAGGGGCCAAGCACCAACCCCATAGGCTACTAACAGAGAAGCCAGCAACAGACTTCACTGTGCAGAACAGCTGACTCAGTGGGGCTGCATGCTCACTTTTGGCACAAATCCTGGGCTGTCAGCTCAGAGGGAGTGGATTCAGACCTCTGTGCAGCTGTTTATGAAAAGACAAGAGCTGAGACATCATCCTCTGGGCGTGGCAACACAGTGTGAAAACCATTGTGCTCTAAAGCTGTGAGTTCTGCTCTACCAGTGCATCCCTAAGAAATGGGGTGATGGATGTAGTCCAAACTGCAAGTCTCTGGGCAGCTGAAGGAATTCACACAGGCTCTGCTCCCATAGCCAGCTGCTTTTGTTTGGCCACAATGCTGAAATGGGGCTTCTCAACCTCGGCTACAGTAAAGCAGATGTCTCACCTGCCTGACACTGTGGTCTCCCTGGATCAGGCCACTCTGTAGCTCTACCAGGTCCAAGAAGAGTGTCTTGGAGAAGTGGTCCAAGGCATAGGCAGCTGCCAGGTATGGAAGTAGGCGCCATTGCTGAGGGAAACAAGACACATGACAGGTACTCAGAGGGACTGGCCCAGTTAGTCAGTCTACCACTTACCTTGAGTCAGCTTCCTTGGGAATGAAGGAAACCCATTGCTGGTGCCAATTCAGTCCAAGACAGGCACCAATTTTTTATGCTTATCTTATGAGTATGCATGTTTTCCTTGTGTGTGCTACATATACACACTTCATGTGTACCTGGTACCCAAGGCCAGAAGAAGGTATCAGATTCCCCAGGAGCTGAAGTTACTGGTGGTTTCGAACCACCATATGGGTGCTGACAATCAAACCCAGGTCCTTTCAAAGAGCTGCAAGTGCTTTAAACGATCAAGCTTTCTCTTCAGCCCCAGCACTGTACTTCTTGAATCTATGAAAGGTGATCAATCACCTGGGGTCAGGGGGGCTCACGTACTAGCACTTGATACACAAAGCATACACCCACTGTTGGATGGACAAATGGATGAGGAGATGAAAGGATTGGAAGGGATAGGTGGGGCCTCAAAGGGACCCAGTGAACTGCCACCATGGCTGTTCCACATGTGCAAAGTGTCAGACTTTATGTCAGTTGTTTCCATTCTGTAAGCCAATTCTGTAAGCCTTTTGCAGCCCCAGGAAGTGGCAGCAACAATGAGGACCTGGGTTAGAGCTCCTTAGACACTGGGCTCCCCTTGGCACCCAGAATGGTCAATATGTCATTGCCATAGATACAAGGATGATAGCACAGTAGGGCACGTGGGCCACCGAGGCATGGTAGGACTTTTTTTTTTTTTTTTTTTTTTAACATTCACTTCCTAAACAGCTCATTGCCAACATAAGAGGAAAGTGAAGGGAAAGGGCAATGCTGTCTCATTTCCTTAGACTGTCACTCAAACACCTACTTTTTTTTTTGTTTTGTTTTTGGTTTTTCGAGACAGGGTTTCTCTGTGGGTTTGGAGGCTGTCCTGGAACTAGCTCTTGTAGACCAGGCTGGTCTCGAATTCACAGAGATCCTCCTGCCTCTGCCTCCAGAGGGCTGGGATTAAAGGTGTGCACCACCACTTTAGCACTCGGCATAAGACCTAAGCCAGATTTAGCAACCAGGTCACCTACCTGACCCTTATCCCCATAAAGTAGGGTCATGACTGCCCCTCTGGCTACAAAGGGCACCTGAACAGAACACGCAGTGGGGATGACAGGAGGTGGCTGTGATGCGCCCCTTTCCACTCATGGCCTCTGAGGATGCAAGGCTGGGTACCATTTCTACTGCTTTAAACGCCACAGTGTTTAAAGGGCTGGGCTCACCTGCTGCTTTCAGAAATGACTTCCTTAGGGTCATTTCTTAGGGATGGGACAGATGAGTCAAAGAATGTAGCTTGACCCAGAACAGCATCACCTGCCAAAGCAGAGTGACCTCATCTCCACATTCAGCAGGCTTGTACCTGCCACCTGAGTCCCTGGCTCTCCTCCACCCCAGTTTGCTTCCTTTTGACCATACATATGCTTTTAATTAAAAAAGTCACCCCAAGGCCCTGGTGCCTGGCAGGTGCAATTGGTCCCATTGTCCTCGGTCAGGGCATTCCCTGAGAACTCTCACCAACTCCCAGGAGCCAAGAAGAACAAGCAGTACCTGCAGTGGATATTCAAGGACAGGAATTTCTTCCTCATCTGTGGGTCCAAACTGACACCGTGTGGCTGAGAATCGGAGTGCTATGGACACTGCCAGCTTCAGGTTGACCACAGAGAAGCCAATAATGGAAATACGTCCTATGGACAGGCTGCCCAAGGATGCTCCCAAACGCTGCCGGACATCCTGGGAAGAAAAGCAGGGTCACAAATCAGTCAGATGTTATGCAGCCTCAGAGAATGCCCCAAAGACGAAGGTGTACCCCAGATGCTTCCAGCTGCCCAAGGAGGGAGCTCTGAGTAGAGAAATACAGTGACTGAGCTGTGTGAGGCTCCTTTTCTTTGGTGACCTGTGAACTGTCCACTTGAGGGCACTGTGCCCTGCCTTTTCCTGGATGGGCACCAAAATGCAGGGTGGTCCAGCATGGGGCTCCACATCCACCAGACACTCTGCTGGCACATGGCTCCTTGGACCCCAGCTGCCCAGCTCCTGTGTGCTCAGTGTTCCAGTCTCACTGTGAACTCCACTGCTCTTTACTATGTTTGGCACTAGCTGTGCTCAGGCCCCTCAGTGGTGTTGTGGATAGCCTCGTGTCCTTGATCCTCGACCCCTCCTGCTGCTGCTCTGGGTTACTTGTTTGGGTCCTTCTTCCAAATTAGTACAGTGTGTATATGATAATCTTCAGACAGGGGACATTTGTCACACTCTCATGTGGAGAACACAGTTTTGTTGGCATTAAAAATGTTTAAATTTGATGGGCAATGGTGGCATGTGCCTTTAATCCCAGCACTTGGGAGGCAGAGGCAGGCAGGTAACAGTGGTGATTATTCACCTGTCTCCGGCAGCATGATTTCTGAACCTCCTCTGTAACGAACCTATTTTTCCCTGTGTGTCAGTAGATAGCTTTTCCTTGATTCTCTTCCCTAGAACAACACAGATCCTTTTCAGCAGTCTTTCTTTCTCTAGCTGGGACATTGGTCCGTCACTTCTCTGAACCCTGCTGTGGTAGGCAGGGACTCACCTTGCCAGGACCTTCCACTGCATTCCTTCTTCCAAGTCCTTCACATGATGATAAATTTTACTTGGTTGTTTTCATATTATTCTGTGGCTTCTTGGCTCCCAGGGCTAATTTCTCTCAAGTAACTTTGCTGCATTTATTCTTGCTTTCCCACCAGGCAAAGGGTGAAGGCTGTCTGAGGAGTGTCCTTCCTGGGAGTATCCTCCTGGGACATCTCTTCCTGGAGCTCTATTCTCAGAGTCAGACACCTGCCCATGTATGCACCACTCTCTAGAGCTGTGGGCTGCCCCATGGTTCATCTCCACCCACAGCCTGACCACTCTCAGGTATCGCCAAGTCTGGTTACCCTATCTGTACACAGCTTTCCAAGTGACCCTCCTGTGGTGCTATTAGTGAAAATGGCTCCCATAGGCTCATACATTTGAATACTGCCAGTGGAACTGTTTGGGAAGGATGGCCTTGTTAGAAGAGGTATGTCACTGAGGGGGCAGGCTTTGGGATTTCAAAACACTCACACCATTTCTGGTGTGCCTCTCTCTGTCTTGTGAATCAAGATGTAAGCTCTCAGCTGTTCCTGTTGTCATGCCTTTGCTCTGCCACCACAGACTCTAACCTTTTGAAACCACATGTTCCAGATTAAATACTTTTAAAAGTTGCCTTGGTCATAGTGTCTTACCACAGCAATAGTAACCAAGACAGCGAGATGCTCTGGGAGAGCAGCCCCTACCTAAGAAGACATAGATACCTAGCCAGAAAATGCTGCCAGATTCAGGCCACCCCTGCCCACCAACACTGTGGTGAAGTTCCTTCTCTGCTGACAGCACCACACCCAACCAAGACTGGTATGTGTTATAACTAGGGCCAGCTGCTCCTGGGGTAATCTCCAACACACAGTGACAGACACTTGGGAAGTTCTGTCCACAGATACCCACAGTTCACTGGTACCTTAAAGGGGGTTCTGTAAGTGCCCTCAGAGGTAACATTTCCAGTCCGGTCCAGGAGGTTCTGGCGAGGAATTCGAACTTTGTGGAACATGGCAAATCTGTGCAGGAGAAAAGGTGGGCATCCATCATGCAAGTCCCACAAGAGCCTGTCACATGGTTCCTGGGCTTCCTCCTCTCCCCAAGAGCAGCTGAAGGTAACATCAACCCCAAAGACAAGGTGCATGTGTGATGGGGCCATGTGTGGACCATTATGGTCCAGCTCTTTATTCCCCAGGATGGAGGTGCTCCCATGTTACTGGCAAAGAGAAGCGTCACACCTGAAGAGCCTGCAGTCCAGTCTACTGCTTGGGAACAATGATCTGCTTCCCCTGAGCAGCTAGGAAAAGGGTTTAACAGTTGTCGCTAGGGATACTGGGCACTGAAAATCTGAGACATTTTGCAATGGCTTAAGAAAGAAGCTTGTACAAAGTTACAAATCTATGTCAACTGCAAAATAAAACACACTTGAAAATCTCAGTGGTTCCTATAGCAGTGTGTCTGGTGGCTAAGATGCTATGCAAACACAGAGGACCTCATCAGTCCCCAACTACCATCTGTGAAGATGGTAGGACATCCTGCTGTTCCTCACCCACATCCAACCTCCTTGTCCCTGGTTGGAAGCAGCCTCACTCCACCTGAGTTGCCCTCATTAAACAGCAGGCAAAAGCAATGTTTTTCAAAAAGGACACACCCTATTCAAAACTACCATGCTGTGACACTTCCACCTGGCCAGGCTCTCTGCTGACCTGTCTCTTCCCTGGGTTTCCCTGCGAGTGAAGCAAGCTGTCATCTCCACTAGGATGTCTACATGATTTCCACCCTAGATGCAAAGATCACAAGGCACACCCCTCTCCAGGATACCAGTGGGTAGTCCTATTCAGTGCAATCACTTGGTTGTCCCTGTCCCCCAGTGAGCCATTGTCCTGCCAGCAGATTTTTGGAGCTGTTGTGGGTTTTTTTTTTTTTTTTTGCAAGTCTACAGTACCTGGCCCCTACCAGGCACTCAGTGAGAAGGAGCAGAGGTGTTGGAATAGGAGGGAATCCTTCAAGGTGAAGGAGTCATCTCCCCAAAACCCTGACCCAGGAAGACACAGCAGCCCTTCCCAGTGCCCACATGACAGAGCTAAGAAGAGGCCTGGGGTGGCAGACTTTAACACAGTACACCCAGCTAACAGTGTGTCTGGCAGCCACCTGGCCTGCACCCAGCCTGTAGGCCACACACAATGCCCCATTTTTTTAAGAAACCCAGCTTCAGTGCCAAGCCGAGGTGCTTCAACTGTTTACTTGAAAGGAATGCTTTTCAAGTACAATGTTGTTAACAGAAAGCACTTTTTAAGGAGTGGAAAATCTTCACTCTTTTTGCCACAGAGGTAGAATGAGTCTGAACACACTTGTACTTGTGAAGTTTCCACTCTAGTTTAAGAGAGTAAATCTCACAAATGCTCTTTGGGTCACTTTTATATCCACAGAAATGGTCAGATGGGTCATGGTGTGTGTGTGTGTGTGTGTGTGTGTGTGTGTGTGTGTGTGAATAATAGGACGGTAACATGGGGTATCTTTGTGATATAAGGCATGTGGCATGGGGAAAGATGGAGTATGGGGCAAAGGATGTGTGGATGACACAGGGCAGTGACACGGGGCATGCGTATAACATGGGGCACCTGGTGTGAGTATGGCAGGCATGTTGGAAGGGTGTAGACTGTGTGTGTGTGCCACATAACTTCCACCCCCGGGTGTCCTGCTGCAAATTCCAGCAACTTCTCTGAAGGCCCCTTGAGAACCACCAGTGCAGCCCCACCTGGGGCAGATCCTCGTCCTGGGCCCCTTCTCAGCCTCTTCAGGGAGGACTCCTCAGGCCCAAAGGACTGCCCTCATCATGAAAAATACAGTGGGCACCTTGAGGGTTTGGCTCAGTGTCCCTGGAAAGATCCTTGGCTTTAGAATGTTTGATTGAAAGTGCTCCAGGCAGCTGACTGCTCTGGATTCCCAGATAGTCCTGACAGGCTGGGGGAATCTTACAGAAGGACAAAGGGTAACTTAGAAATGGAGCCCAGTTTAAAAGCAGCACTAACTTACAGTGCTGCTCTTTGAGTTGAGACCTAACACCATCAGAGCAGCCACTCAGTTCTAGAGCTCTAGAGTCCTCTGCTGGTGGCCTGTGGTCACTGCAGGCAGGAAGCTTAGTTTATTAGTTTCTTCCAAGGACCCTGTGGCCAATCGCGACAGAGAGGGCACAACAGGCCACTGGACTGGCCTTTGCTTTCCTGGAACAGCTGCTCAGGCTGCCCCACAGTGTGTCCATGGTGACTCTCAGCCCAGCCTTTGCCACACCTATATTCTGAAGCTCCTGTAAACATCTGATTTGGTGCCTGTGAGATGCGTCCCAGGAGACTACCCATTCTCTAAAAACAGGAGCTGCTATGATGGGGTCAAGTACAATCTCTCTGTTATGCTCCAAAGTTTGTAGACCAGAAAGAGAAGCAGACAGAGGCACTGGGACCACTGGCTACATGTTACAATGCACCACCAACACAAGCCAAGGTTAGCCAGGCTGCACACAGAGCCCTTAACGGAGGGGGTGACACCACTGTGACTTTTGAGTCCTGATCTTTCTCCTTAAGCTTATATTGCTAGGCATTGGTGCTTCTGGGCCCCTCCACACTGTCTGCATCTGACCTGCAGACGTAGGAAGCCTGAGCCCTTCCCTGGCCCTGCCCCGGCCTTCTGGTGATGGACAGACAGTGGAGTGTCTAGAAGAGCCTTGGGAAGCACCTGGTCCAGGTCAGGATTCTTTCTGGAGGGGCTAGCCTCAGTAGCCAGCCACAGCAGCTGCTTGAGGCGACTCTGAGAGCCCAAACACACACAGAATTGAGGTAAACAAACACACTTAATAAAGCATAGAACACAATAGTTGGGGATATCCTATTTTGGCCTCTTCCAGAGTCATGAGTTATCTTGTGGGCAGAGAGAGGTCTAAGTGCATTGAGCCAGGCATCCTGGAGCTAGGTAGAACCTGTACACACTGACCAGGGGAAGGCAGGAAGGTAACCTAGACTTCTCAGTAGGGCTACTGAGGGCTAGGCATAGAAGCTGGACTAGGAATGGTAGATATAACAGTGAGCCCTACCATGTTGGATGCCACTCAGCTGCTGCCAACCTGGTCTCAAAGACAGATGCTCAGAGTCACAGAGAACCCTCAGGAGCTGGCTTCACCACTGTTCCTCCACCTGGGACACTATAAACCTCAAGCCATCCAGCTGTCCTACTGACCATGGACTCGGCCTGGTTAAGGAGTTAGTGAAGGTCCTTCCAGGCTCAGTCCAGTCCATGGTATTTAAGTGCTCAGTGCACATTGCTACAGATCAACTCCATTTCTGAGCAACCCTAGGCTGGGAGTCAAAAGCACCTCACTGATCATCATATGCCCAGCAGTTAGCCAATTACTGCCTCAGAGACTTGAAGCAAATATTCATGGCAGACTCCACAGTGGACAGATGAGGCCAACCACCAAGAGACCTCACAGAGAAAGGAAGGTCCTATGTAGTTGGGTACCCCCAGCCTGGGGTTTCCCCAGGCAACCGGGTAGCCCTAGACTGATCTGAGAGCTTGGAGAGTCACAGTCTGAGAAGCTGACCCATAGGGTGCTAGGACAAGGTGGACCTCTGGGAATTGAGACTATTCAGGCCATGGCTGCTACTCAAAGAAGTGCAGGTTGGTGCCTACTCTAGCCAAGCCAGGCCCTGAGAAGCCTCCACTCTTGAGTGTGGCACTGGCAGCAGCTCCAGTCATGGCTTAGAACAACCCAGAAGCCCCAGGGAGGCAGCGTTTGTCTGATGAGGCCAGTGGCACTCACCCATTATCCAGGCCATTCTGCCCCAGCTTCTTCCCCATGTCACCGACCATCACCCCTGGCATGGGAAGCAGGGTCTTCGTGTCCCGAATCTGTACAAAGCCATGAGGAATAATGGCCAGTTAGTCTTTCAGAAGACAAGGCAGCATGCCCAGACAAGCTGGCCACTGTCAGGGGTGACCCTGAAGAGTTCTGGGTCATACTGGATTCCCTGGAGTGATATGTCCAGGTCTGGGGATGAAGCCTTCTGTGGAAAATGGACCTCTGCAGTTGCAATAAGGGAGAGTCCTCAACACCTGGATTCCTAGATGGGACCTAAATCCATGGTAAGTGTCCTTACAAAGGGAACAGATTCACAGAAAGGCAGTGTGGCGATGAGTCAGAAGTTGGAATGACCAGTGAAGCCAGAAGCTGGGGAAGGTAGGAGAGAGCTTCCTGAGCCATCAAGGAATACAATGGTTCTTGACTCCAGCTCTAGAGCCCAGTGGCTCTCCTGGCTTAGTCCTGGCTGTGATGTGTCACTTCACCAGCCACAGGCTGGGGTAGGGGCCCACATTGTTTAGCGGATGTAGAGAGATCCCATTCATGCCTCAGACAGAAGACCTGCAGTGGGATTCCAGCATAATGTCAAAATGGCTATGCACATATGTGCTGTGGAAAGGAAACCAGGACAGCTATGTTGATCTCATCTCCCCAATGGGTGTCCACTGAACATTCCCATGATATGTAACAGGGCATGGCTGGCTATAGACTCCTGACCTAGGGGCTCCTGAAAAAGACAGGTTTCATTCCACATGAAGCAGAATTGCCAACCATGTCCCTTCCCCAGCCACAGGCTGGGTTAGGGGCCCACATTGTTTAGCGGATGTAGAGAGATCCCATTCATGCCTCAGACAGAAGACCTGCAGTGGGATTCCAGCATAATGTCAAAATGGCTATGCACATATGTGCTGTGGAAAGGAAACCAGGACAGCTATGTTGATCTCATCTCCCCAATGGGTGTCCACTGAACATTCCCATGATATGTAACAGGGCATGGCTGGCTATAGACTCCTGACCTAGGGGCTCCTGAAAAAGACAGGTTTCATTCCACATGAAGCAGAATTGCCAACCATGAAGCAGAGGCCCTACTGCCTCCCTTCCCCTCAAAGGGATGGGGGCAATGTCTAGAGGCGATGTTGTTCTAGATAACAGACACTGGCGGCACACACTAGTGAGGACCAACCACAGCTGCTGCTTGCCCACCAGAAAACACAGCACTGGGATGGGGACACCTGGTCTAAAGACATTTGGAGACTGAGAACATAGTTCAGGGTACAGTATGGGCTTAGCATGTGGGAGACCTTGGATCCAAACTCCAGAACCAAGGGAAGAAAATAGTAAGAGAGGGAGGGAGGGTTGGTTAAATATAGGCATTTAGAACTTAGCTATTTGTAAGTCACTAGCTTTTTATTTTGTGGATCTGATTTTATTTAAACTTTAATAAAGAAGTGTCAAGGTTTGGATCCTGGTCCTCAGAGGTAAATGTTTTGGGCTTCTGCCCATGGTGTTGTGGGAAGGCAGGACATGGTGAAAGAAAATCAGGCTATTGGGAGGTTACTGAGACCCTGGCCACTTCCTGTTTCTTTTCATTTTGTCCCCAGACACAGCTTATTCAGCCCACATACTCCTGCCAGGATAGCTGGGCTCCCACAGGCCCACAGGAGCATCAGTGTGCCAGGAGACCATGGGCTGGTACTTCAAACACTGAGCCAGGATAATCCTTTCCTCCTGTGAAGTTATTGTGGTAGGGAATTTTGTTACAGCAGCAAAAAGCTAACATAGGAGGAGCAACTAACAGGGCAAAAATAGTTGGTGTTTTCCAAATAATCAAAAATACCTCTAGTGGGAGCTGGAGGGATGGTTTAGTAGATCTCGAAGAGAACACAGGTTTGGTTCCTAGCACCCACATCAGGCAGCTCACAAACAACTGTAATTCCAGTTCAAGGGCATCTAATGCCCTCTTCCACAGGGACTGCTTGTACATGGTGCACAGCACCCACACATACACATAAAATAAAAATACATAAACCTCTAAAAACTACACGACTACTGCCAGTTTCAAGTTCCATCTGGAAAGAGTTCCAAAGTGAAAAGCAAAAGTAGCTAAGGCCATGCTTAACTCATAAATATTAACTGTGCAGATTCACCTTCCATTTCCCATGATATGTACAAGACTGTCAACCCTGCAGGGCAGCATGGGCTATGCCTACTATACAGGTGCTCTGCTGGAGGGGATGGTGAGATGTCACTGAGGTGCCCTGAGTACAGGTGTCCTGCTGGAGGGGAGGGTGAGATGTCACTGAGGTGCCCTGAGTACAGGTGCTCTGCTGGAGGGGAGGATGAGATGTCACTGAGGTGCCCTAAGTACAGGCACCTTGCTGGAGGGGAGGGTGAAGTACCACTGAGCTTCTCTTACAGCAGTTATTGATTTTGATTTTTGAGACAGAATCTACTACACAGGCCAAGATTTGCCTCAAAATCACAATCCTGCCTCAACCTCCTGAGTGCAGGGATTACAGATGTGTGCTGGGATGGCAGGCCTGCTGTGCACTCACAGACTCCAGAAACACTGCAGCACTGTGGTCTGAAAGTGAGGCATGATGCAGGAAGCCTGGTACCAGCATAGTGTCTTCCATGGCAGTGCACATCTGTGCTTGACAACACCATGCCTGTGGCTGCAGGTGACTGTCTACCTGGGGACAATCCCACCCAGGTCTTACCTGCACCAGGAAGGAATGCAGCCCGTGGCACTTGCCATCTGGCATGTACAGCTGAGCAAACACCACCGCATGCGTTGCTGTCTTGCCCATGTTGCCCACCCAAAACTTGGCAGCCTCAAAATCCGGGGAGTGTATGATGAACTCCTGTGAAGGGAGATGACAGCCTTGTAATTGGCAACTGAGAGCAGAGAACGTCTTGTCCTCTGCACCAGGTTGACACCTATGCTCAAGCTTCTGAGCCAACAGTGAGAAGGGCCTGAATGCTTTATTTCCTGTGTGGGCCAAGCTGACTTTATTCTTGTCCCAGGGTCACTTACAGAGGAAATGGAAAATGAGGCTCAGTCTCTTACACAGTGGACTGCTGGCTGGCACTCGCCCACAGAGACTGACACTGACCACACTCTGTCAGCAGAGGTGTGCTTTCCTTCTTGCCACAACCCCTCCGGACTGTTAATGAAGGGGCGCTTTCCTTCTGTTGCTTTGACTATATTGGCACCAGTAGAGAGCATCAGCCCTTGGAAAGGAACAAGGGACTTTGGGAATGAACAAGTGAGGCATAAACTGGTATGTGAGCTGGAGCCACACGTCACTGGCAGGGATATCTGGGGCAAGCTCTGGTTCTGTTGAGTCAGCAATTGCCCCACGACCTAAGGTATGGCCTTGGGGCCCTTTGCTACCAGTCAGCACCAGCCTCCCACCCATAGAAGTCTCAGGCCCCAGAGTAGAGTGGGAGCAGACAGGGCCAAGGAATCAGAAAGACCAAGAGGAAGATCTTGGTCAAGAAGCAGGCAAGAAAGAATGGGGGCCTATGTGCTGGCAGGTATGACAGCCTGCATGGTGGTCCCTCCCTCACTTGTCCCTGCCCTTGCAGGGCTGCACATGGCATGATTTGTTCTCTTTCCACCATACAGCAGTTCAGGTCAGAGTTCACAGTCAGCCACATGGATGGATGGACAGTGAACAAGTGCTGTACCCCGAGTTTCATTTTCTGCACACAGACCCTCTCTATCACATCGAAGATAATGGGGAGGGTGGGGCTCCCAACAGCACATGAAGGAAGGTGGCAGCGGAGCACAATCCTTAGACAAGTGGAGAAAGGGGGCTTCCACACCCCACTCAGCACTGACCACCCCCGACATTTGAAAGCCATGTCCCTCTCACTCTGCATACTAGGAGCTCCTAGAGAACCAATAGTGGACTCTCCCCACAGTGTCTCCCTGCAGAAGTCAGAGTCCTCACAGAACAGGGCCCAGCAATGCCCCAACAGTAGACAGCAACAAGGGTATCACAAGGATGCCAGAAACGTGGCAAGGAGCAGAGATCTAGTAGGCTGCTCAGCCACGAAAAGCCCCGTAAGCATATAGGCAAGGCGGGCCCCAGGGCTGAGGTTGGGAAGAAGTACCCTCCTTTGGAACACTTCATGTAGCATGAGGATCTGACCCTCCATGTGTCCCCAAACCATCTGCTCAGCATGGAAGGTGAAGACTTCATGCCTCAGCATAAGGCATGATCTCAAAGGCATCTGACAGTGACCTCTAATGAGAGTTGTAAGGGGACAACAATCTTTTTGTTTTGTTTTGTTTTTCAAGACAGGGTTTCTGTTTCTCTGTATTGTTTTGGAGGCTGTCCTGACCAGGCTGTCCTGGAACTCACAGAGATCCGCCCGCCTCTAAACCTCTTGAGAGCTGGAATTAAAGGCCACCAACGCCCAGCCTGGGGACAACAATCTTGATTAATTATTGTTCATTCACAACATTTCATGCGCTGCACCCTGGGTCCAGAATCCAGAACCTACCTGGGTGGCAGGATCGTAATGAGCTGTTGTTCGCATGGCCTTGGTGTTACTCCCATGACTCAGTTCAGTCAGAGCAAAACAGCCAAAAATCTAAACATCAAAGTACAAAGTGATGCCAGGGGTATGATACGTTCCTGTGTGTATTCCTGCAGCCACTATTCCACCAAGAAATCCAGATGACTAAAGCCAGGAGCCCAGGCACACCTTTCCATGCCTATGTAACCAGACTACCGCATGACTGAGTCACCCTGCTGCACTGGATACCACTCCCACCTGCTGGCAGCATCCTATGTTGAATATAGGCTGCAAAGACTTTTACAGTCAGAGGAAGCCATGGAGCATTCAGTCAGACAGGAAAGCAAAGTCCACAGCCAAATAGAGTGGGCAAGGAAGAGTGCCAGCCTGAGAGCACTTAGAAAAGCAGAGCCTGGCCTCCCAGGCTTTTTCTGTGGCCTGCCTGTCCACTGCTAAGTATGGTCTCACAGCTCACCATGGATGACTCACCTCCAAGCTATAGATCTTTTCAAGGTACTTGAGACGCTGCTCAGAACCAGAATTGAAAATTGCAGATCCAAAAACCTGAAATGTAACACAGATGGGGGTGTGGGTGTGGTTGGGTGCTGCCACTCCTGGATCAGGGCAGGCACACCTCACACCTACCCCACATACTCTTCACCTTACCTCTTCCTCCTGGATTGTACTACATTTTGAATGAATATATTTCATCCAAGAACCCATGGATGCAAATTTGTACTGAAAGCTGAAAATCTAGCCTTGTCACTTAATCTTAAATCCTGAATATTTTAAGAGCCGTGGGGCTGTGGTTTGTGTCTGATGTGTGTGGCCCAGTGTGGACATGGGTTCCAGCTCTCTACCTCACACTCACCAAAATGTGGAGGGCACATTTGTAAGCCAGGGACCAGTCGTACATGCCCAGGCAGTGAATCAGTGCTGGGATCTTCAGGGGTTCCTTCAACAGTTCTTCCAGGTGGAAGAAGTCATACTCCAAGACCCGCTTGCAGCGAAGGAAGTTCAGCTCCCGCTGCTTCTCTAGAGGCAGATCGGTCCCATATGAGCGAGCAAAGAGAGGGTCATTCTCCAAAGTCTTGAAGATGGTTTTCTGTAAACACAGGGCACAGGGTGCTAACTTGAAAGCCAAGAGGGGGGCGGTCACGTGCTCTTATGCATTTGGTTTCTCTTAGGGTCATGGCTGCCTGGGACCTAGTCTGACCTAGAATCCCCCAAATGAAAACACCCATCTCAGCTGAGAGAAGGACATAGGAATTCCAAAATCTTGTCCATTCCTTCCTTCTAGCATCCTGAGACTCATCTTGGGGTAAGAGGAGACAGACTCACACTGTCCCAAGAACTACCCATCCTACCGAGCTATTAGGGCCAGGAAAGTCGCTGGGCTTCAAAACCTCAAAGTCACTTCTGATGGGGAATAAAGACACAAGCAGACTCCATGCGGACCTCACCTTGAAGTGGAGCACATCCTTACCATCCCAGAAGAGCAGCAGCTCCTTGGAGCTGAAGGAAGCTCTTGCTCGGTAGGCACTAAGGGGGCCCTTAGGGGTGTCTGGCCATAAAGCACTGTCTCTTCCTTCTGGTGTAGATCCCATGGTATTGTCAACCTGCACAGAGAAGCAAACCTGCTGCGTGACACCACTGTGAACAACCACACCATATTAGAAGAAGAGCAAAGCCAGTGTCTCCCAAGCAACAGCAGCAGAGGCAGCAAAGCATCAGTATGGAGGCAATGATGTCCAAAAGGGAGGGTGAGGCAGCACTCCCCTCCTGGACTGCACTCCTGTACAGGCATGAGGACACAAGTCAGAGATGTGCCATCTGTGAAAGGAGTGAGAAGGAGGGCCAAGGTAAACAGGCTGTGATAAACCAGGTAGCAGTGAAGAGTCCATCCTGAAGAAACTGGTCTTTCAGTTGTCAGGAAGTTCAGGTCCCTTATGGATCACTAGGCCTAGAGCTAGGGAGCTTCCCCTCTGGAATCTTTTGTTTTGTTTTGTTTTTTGAGACAGGGTTTCTGTGTAGCTTTGGAGCCTATCCTGGCACTCGCTCTGGAGACCAGGCTGGCCTTGAACTCACAGAGATCCGCCTGCCTCTGCCTCCCGAGTGCTGGGATTAAAGGTGTGCACCACCAATGCCCGGCCCCCTCTGGAATCTTGCTGCTTACAACGCATGATGTCCCTGCTCACCCAGACACCAGCCACTGAACACAGAAGCTGTGACTACTGTTAGTCTGTACTGTTGGTCTGTACTCAACACTCAAGACTTCCCACTCACAGTGCAGGTAGATGCTTTTCACTAAAGGACTGTTCCGGAATTCCCTGTATAAACTGGGTCCTTTCAAGCAATCTAATACATCATAGCATAAAGGCCAAGGACCTATGCTCTGTCCAACAAGAATCTGAGAGCCAAATCCAGGCAAGGAGACCTAAACACCTTTGGGAGCCACTGAGGTAACTATTCAAATGGTCTAGGGCTGGACTCCAGGTTGTGGTCACAGTGCAGATAGTATTTTCCCATGTGACAGGGAAAGCAGGGGCATAGCATGGCTGAGCACCTTCCCTCACAGATCAAGTCCTACAAGACCTTCTCCAACTCTGAGCCAAGAAGGTTGTCCCCAGAGAAACATGAGCCACTAAATCCAAGGTCAGACAGAGGAAACGCAGTCAAAGATGAGAGCAAGGGCCCAAAGGAGAGGCAAGGGAAGGACAACAGAATAAGTTCCAAAAACTATGTCCTTGTAAAGACTGACAGGACTGGAAAACTTCCACCATCTGCTCCCAGGAAAGAGAAAGCTCAGATTTGATCGGGGACATCAAGACTCATCACAAACCAGAGGTAATTTAGGACTATATAAGTGGGAGTTAGCTCACAGAGGCAGTAAGGGAAAGAGGCCACGGAGAAAACTATGTTATCCACATATGCTACAGTGGAAAAGGACACAAGGTAAAAAGGGAAGGTAAAGGTTAAAACAATGAAGCCAGGGCTGGAGAAATGGCTCAGTGTTCAAAAGCGCTTACTATTCTTGCAGAGGACATGGATTTGGTTTCAGAACCTACATACTGGCTTACAAATGTCTCCAGTTCCAGGGCATCTAACACATCTCTGACCTCCTTGGGCACACATGTGGTTCATAGACAGATATGCAGGCACATACACATACACAAAATTAATGAATAAAACAAACAGTGAAGCTTGAAATACCAAGGATAGAGACACTACTGGGTACGAGACAGCCACATGACTGGTAAGAGGTATGAAGGCTCCAAGAAACAAGGGAAATGACAGGGACCAGCGGCTAGTTTCCACGAGACTTTTCCCTGCTAGGGGAACACATGCTGGGCATTGCTGCTTGCTACATATTCTTGCTTTTAACACACCGCTTCTAATGCAGACAATTATAACTGACTACAATGCAGGTAAGGATGGCTTCTAACAATCCTGCTCCAGTTTAGGAATGACACTCAAGGCCATCCTGTAGACCAGCATTTCTCAACCTATGGATCATGACCCCTTTTTTTGGGGGGGGTGTCAAATGATTCTTTCACAGCGATCACATAAGACTATCAGAAAACACAGGTATTTGCATTATGATTCATAACAGCAGTAAGATTACAGTTATGGAGTAGCAATGAAAATCATTTTATGGTGGGGGGGTCACCACAGCAAGAGGAAGTGTATTAAAGGGTCACAGCATTAGGAAGGTTTGAGGACCACTGCTGTAGACAGATAATCAAGATTTTGGCAGCTGTGAGGAGAGTGATTGATTAAATTAATAGCACTTGGAAAACCTCCAAGATCCAAATGAGCGACTTGAGCTAATCAGCCTTCTAGCAAAACCAGTCAGTAACTAAAATGGCTAGCAGTTAAGGTCGGCAACTAAGTCATCATTAGAGATAAACAATGGGGGCTGTGGCCACCTATGTGGGGCAGCATACAAACAGCCACAGGCAATTCTAGTTTGACAAGTCCAGTCCACATAAGTAGTCTTGTGGTAATATTTTGTTTATGATCTAACAAATAAAACTTGCTTGAAAATCAGAGAAGCAAAGCAGCCAGCCACTAGAGAGTTCTCACCTCTACCAATGCTCAGATCAAGGGGCGATCCTATCCTCAGGCTGCACTGCTCCTCAGACTGCATCTCTCTCATCTCCTCCTGCCTTATATTCCTCTCTCTGCCCAGCCATATCACTCCTGTCTCCACCTCCTTAGTTCTGGGACTAAAGGCATGTCAACAAGCCCCAGCAATACCACTTTTGGGCATATGCCCAAAGGATTGCACACTCACACTGCATGGACATTTGCACAATTATGTTCATGGCTGCATTATTGATAATAGCCAGAACCTGTAAACAACCCCTCAACCAAAGAATAGATAAAGAAAATGTGGTACATATGCACAATGGGGTACTACTCAGAGGTAAAAAACAATGACATCTTGAAATCTGCAGGCAAATGGGACAGAACTAGAGTGAGGTAACCCAGACCCAGAAAGACAAATGTAACATGTACTCACTCACAAGTGGATATTAGACATAAACAAAAGGATAACCAGCCTACAGTCCACAACCCCAGAGAACCTAGGTAACAAAGAGGACCTTAAGAGAGACATACATGGATTTGCCTATGAAGGGGAAAAAGACACGATCTCCTGAGTCAATTGGGAGCATGGGGGATATGGAGGAGGGTGGAAGGGGAGAGGGGGAAAATGTATAGCTGAATAAAAACAAGGTTAAAAAATTAAGGACTAATTTAACAAATGAATATTCAAAAGTCCAAATGAAACGTAAATGACTGTGACAACATATTAATTCAAAAAGGCATGTCACTCCAAATGCTGGGATTACCTTATGTAAGCTTCATTTCTCTTTTAGACTGGATCAATTTTCTGTAGCCCAATGTGGCCTTGAACTAACAGAGATCCATCTGCCTAGGTCTCCTGAGTTCTGGGATTAAAGGTGTGTGCCACTGCCTGACCTCTGTGACTAACTAGTGTAGCTAGCTTTGCACTTTGATCTTCTGGCAAGCGTTATTTGTTAAATCGTAAACAAAATATCACTACCTAGTCTCCTCTGTCTTTACTTTCTGTGGTGGTCAAACCGTATTGTCAACTTGACTGGATCTGGAATCTCATAGAAAACTTATCTCTGGGTGTACCTGAGGTTGTTTCTAGAAAGCTTTGACTGAGGGAAGACCCAAGATAAACACGGAAACATCATCCCATGGGCTGGAGTTCCAGACTTAAAAAGGGGGGGAGGCGCTGGCAAGACAGCTCAGCCATAAAGGCATTTGCTGTCAAGCCTAGAAGTCTGAGTTCAGTCCTGGAGGCCCACATGGTAGAGGGCAAGAACCAATTCTCCTAGTTTGTTCTATGACGCTCCACCCCCCACCTCCACCTGTATGCATGTTATGGTATGCACATCAGCCTCTGCCCCACAGGAATAAATAAAATGAATAAATGAATAAAACAAAATTTTAAAAAACTTTAAGGGATGAAGGTGCAAGATGGTTCAGTAGGTAAAAGTGCTGGCCATGAAGGCTGATGGATGGAGTTTGATCTACATACACATAAAATATGTGTGTGTGCCGTTGTTGGTTTTTTTACTCTTTATTTTTGTTCTTTTGGCTCTTTACTCGTTGGGGGCTTGCCACCCAGGACCCAAATAAAATACACACAGAGGCTTAATACTTACTTAGAAATACCCAGGCCTTAGTTTGTTTCTAGCCATCTTTTCTTATCTTAAAATAACCCATCTATCTTTTCCTCTGGGCTTTTATCTTTCTTTATTTCTGCATATCTTTATTTACTTCTTTCTCCACAGCTTGCTGTATAGCTGGGTAGCTGGTTCCTGATGTCCTTCTCTCCTTGTTCTGTCTTGCTCCTTCTCTTCTCTTTCCAGATTTCTCCTATTTATTCTCTCTGCCTGCCAGCCCCACCTATCCTTTCTCCTGCCTAGCTATTGGCCATTCAGCTCTTTATTAGATAATCAGGTGTTTTAGACAGGCAAAGAATCACAGCTTCACAGAGTTAAACAAATGTTCCACAGCATAAACAAATGTAACACACCTTAAAATAATATTCCAAAGCATATGTGATATGTATTATATATACAGACACACATACATATCTCCCATACCTGTCATGGGCTATACACCTGTAATCCCAGCACTTCTGAGACAGAAGCAGGAAGATTTGGTGTTAAAGGTCAGCATTGGTTACCTAGTGAGTCCAAGGCCAGTCCAAGCTACATGAGACCCTGACCAAAAACATACAAACAAAAACCCCTTGCACTTGTTGCCACTTTAGCATGCCACAATAATTCGGTGAGAAGAAGCAGTCTTTTCAACAACTGTGGACAGCTCCATATGAAAGGACAAGGCTCTCACATACACAAAAATTACCTTCCCATGGCACAGATCTACACATACAATCTAGACCTATCAAATTCTTAGAAGATCATAGAGAAGCCAATCTGTGATCTTATATTTGCAAGATATTCTTGGATAAGGTATGCAATGGCTAATCCTGAGGACCAGCTTGCCTGCACCTACAATCAACTAAAACACAAGTTTCTGGTCGTTCCTGTGAGGGATGTTCTTGTTCAGATTCTCTGAAGTAGGAAAACCCTTTCTGGAGGCACCTCCCAGATAGATGAACACGGAAGGAAACTTTTCTTTTTGCCTGCTTGCTCTCACACCGGGAAGTTCATCTATCCTACTGCTGAGGCATTCCTTCTCCGGTATTAGAACCAGCTCCTTCAGGATTCCAACAAAGGCTAAAGACCAAGAGCTGCCCAGAAATCACCCAGGACTACAACCCCCAAACTGGGACTACTGAGCTAACCAGCCTTGTGGACAGAGAAGCTACCAGATTCTTGAACTCTCGGAGTGAGGCAGCCATTGTTATATATACCAGGCCATATATATTCCAAGTGAGCATTGGTGACACATGCCTTTAATCCCTGCACTCGGAAAGCAGAGGCAGGTGGATCTCTTGTGAGTTCGAAGCCAGCCTGGTCTACAGAGTAAGTTCCAGGACATGCTCCAAAGCAATACAGAGAAACCCTGTCTCGAAAAACAAATATATATAACCTATATATGTGAATATATATTGAAAGGACTAGAGTCAGCACAGGACACATCAAGACTAAGTTCTCAGCACAAAGGAGATTTATTTGTTCCATAGGGACAAACACAGAGATAGGAGACAAGGGGGAAGGGAGAAAAGGGCCAAGGGAGAGGGGAAAGGGATTTTTGCCACAGAGGGATAAAGGACTGCCTCTGGATAGAGAGGAGACAGATGTGGCCCATAGGCAAATGGCAGCTTATAAAAGGAAAAGGGGAAACCCCTTGTGAGGATGAGGTGTTTAATTTTAATTGGACAAGTTAACTAGCATAATCAAAAGGGGACTTTTGATTGCTGGACTTTGATACTTTGAGAGCTGTACCTTGGTGGTCAGCCTCAGGAGGAAGAAGTGGCTAAATAAGGAAATAGACTTTGGTGGCTAGCTTTAGGAATGTGAAATGATTTTTTAGCAACAGGGAGAAGGGTAAAAGGTAAAACCTGTTGACATCATGTTTGCCATGCTTGGGCCTGCAAAAGCCCTTCCTTTATATCGCTCTATCAGTTATTTTCCTTTAGAGAACCCTAATACAGGCCATCATAGACAACAAGAGAAAGTGGATTTCATCCTAACTAAAAACATCTGTGGCAAAGAAGCAGCCTGCTTTGCTCTAGATCCCAGGTCCTCACCAACTCCCAAAGGTCCCATGCCACCTGAGTTCACCAACACAGCTACACTGTGTTACAGCTGTCACAAACACAGCCCTCACAGCCATGTTGCCTTGGCTCCAATCCCAATAGTTTAACAGTCCAGTAGCCTTACCGAATTGTTTTGCCACCCTGTTTCTCAGAAGCAAGGTTGTGAGCACACAGGGCAATGTGTGCATAGAAAGTTCCTGGGACACAAATCAGGCCTTTGTTATGCTTCGTTATCGTTCTGACGTTTCTTCCAGTCTTTCTCTCTATTTAAAATGAAACATGAGGCCTTAGTTTTGGTGAAGTCCTGTATCTACAGCCCCAACAGACCAGACCCAACAAACACTAACACTACACATTGCATTAACAGACTGTAACTTTCAGGCCACCTGGGAGATTCCAGTCCACCTGGTCTTATGGGTAGATTTCCTCTCTTCTTCAGTCTCCAACAAAGTAGCTGGTGACTCCACCTTCACCAGTCTGTTCCTTGTCTCTATCCCTCTTGTTTCCACTTTAAAAATTCAGTTTCATGCTGGGCATAATGGACTAGCCTACTGTCCCGATTACTGCCAAGACTCATGAGCCAGGAGGATAGGGTTCAATGCAACTGCGATCATTAGGGAGAATTAAGGTCTTGGGTGTAGATCAGCGGCAGCCTTCTTGCTAAGAATTTCCTGTCCAGAGTTCAGCGCACCTGAGAAGCATGAATAGTACCGTGCCTAGACCCACTGGGGAGCAGCCCGTAAACACTACAAACGAATTCAATCTACAGCTAACTTTGCTCAAATTCTGTCTTAGGGTAACTCTCTGCGGAGGGGCAGCCTCTAAAAGCTGCGGCCAGCTTTCTCTGAGTAGAGAGCCAGCTTTCTCTCAGTAGAGAGCATGACCTCGGGGCAGAGTGCAAACTCCAGCAGGCCCCTGTCCTGTCCTGAATCTCCCGGGCACCGCATGTCCTCACTGCTCGGATCCAGCGTGGGGTCCGCGGTACTAGTCTCGCCGGTGTCCTGCGCACACTGCTGATCAAGTGTGTCCTGGTGTATGAGGATGGGGCAGGCTGGAGAAGTCTGACTGACACCCACCCGCCCATCCTGGAGTGTGACGTCGTCCCTCCGAGACGTTCTCTGCCTCCCCCTCATTGCCCCAAGTAGCGGCTGGCTGCTTGCGTCATCATTCCGTGCCGACCCGTAACCAAGGAAATACAGATGCTTCCAAAGACTCAGCTCAGATGCGGTTCCGGGTTTGGAGTTACAGGATTTCGTCCCGGTCGCCCTCGGCGTGGTTAGAGCCCTGGGGCTTACTCAGAAACTGCCCTCGGCCCAGGTTAGAGCTGTCTTGTTTTGGTCCAGGCCTCTTGAGGGCACTTTCAGGGGGAGTGGGACCGCGGCTCCTTTAAGATGCAATTTACCCAGAATTGCTCCTAATTTCCCAGAGGGACCTCCTTATCAGGAACTCGTAGAATAGTGCTCCTGAAAGAGTTCCTCCAACCTCCAGGAGCATCCTCTGGTACATTCGTGCCTGCACATAGTAATAATAATAATAATAATAATAATAATAATAATAATGGCTGTGGCAGTGGATTTGGATGGATGGGTGGGGGAAAGAGAGCTGCTGGCTATCAGTTCTGTGGAGGAGAGGTGTCATTGCCGTAGGTAAGCATATAGAGGAAACTTACAAAGCATATTCCAACTCCCCTCCCCAGGGTGCACATCATTGTCCCCCTACCCCCATTCTCCAATTCTGTGCCTCTGCCCAGCCCTTCTCAGGGCTCACTCAACATGTTTAGATGCCATCATTTCAGTCTTTCTGTGATGGTTGGGTTAAAGACTTGCCCAATCCAGTGCAATGGTAAACTTTTCTTGCAATCCTGGCACCAGGGAAACTGAGATAGGAGCATCATGAGTTTCAAGCCAGGCTGGCTGACAAACCAAGATCCTATCAAGTAAATAAATCAATCTGTCATTCTCAGCTCTGACATGGTTTACTTCAAGACTTCTTGGTAGCATTCACCCACCTGTCCTTCAGCGCCCAACTCTATGGTCCCCTCCTGGTCTTAGGACACTGCCTAGCCTGTGTGTGACAGAGAACTCATTGGATGCCTCTGTGTTGAACCCAGGGGACAATGATACTACAGGATGGTAAGAGAAAGAACTGGAGCATGGCTTCCTCAGGCACAGACAACACTAAGGTCATCAGAAGGGTCTTATACTGCAGGAAAGAAAGGGTTTTGCCCTTGCCTCATTAGCTACTTCCTTTTTTAGTCACTTGTTCTGTTGGCTGTCACTGGTACCCGCAAGTATTTGCACATTTTTGTTTGTTCTTGGGGTGGTATTTGAGACAGTCTCGTGTAGCCTGGACTGACACCAAATTTGCTGTGTAGCTCAGGATGGCCTTGAACTCCTGATCCTCTGTCTTTGTCTTCCAAGTGTTGATAATACAGGTATGTGTCAACACACTTGACTGTACATTGTTTGGGAGTTTGTTTTTTGTTTTTTGTTTTTTTTCGAGACAGTACTTTTCTATATAGTTCTGTAGATCAGGCTGGCCTCAAACTCATAGAGATCCGCCTGCCTCTGCTTCCCGAGTGCTGGGATTAAAAGCATGCACCACCACCCAGCTTTGACTGTACATTGTTAAAGTTTATTCCCACACTCTGGTCCCTTGTCTCTTGCCATATCTTCCCTATCACCACCACACCTCCATAAGTTCAAGACTCACAGGAAAGTGGTGAGGGAACATTCACCACAACACTCAGCAGAGAACATGGCTGGTGACAACTCTGCCAGGACCATCCACACCAGCTCCCTTCTAGTTGTAAACTCCTGTACAGTAGTGGGCATCTGAAAAGGGTGCTGGGTTGTAAGATGAACACATAAATGTTGAAGTTTATCATTGTGAATGTTCCCAGTGTGAGCCAATGGAGAAATCCCACTGTAAACCCAGCCATTCAATCCTATGGTTGTTAGCCTGAAAAGAAAAGCAGGCTCATGCTCTCAAGAGTCAAAGAACTTCTGTGGGACTAGGAGAGCATTGCAACCCGGCCATGCATGGTGTGACTGGTCACAGCATATCTGATGATAGAAAGACCAAAGGGAAGTTCACACAAACCATCTGTTAACAAGGGCTTGCTGCAGGCCTTGGCATTAGCTCACTTTTGAAGACATACATATGTGTTTGTACAGGCTGTTTAACTGGATTGCTGCAATCTCAGGCAATCTTCTAAAAATCCAGGCCTAGGAAAGAGGAAGAGCCATCAGTTGATATAGGCTGAGGTCCTGGGAGGGGTTCTTATGTGTAGGCTGAGTTTTCCCATCCCAGTTGCCGCTTCCAAATAACCAACACAGAGGCTTATATTTTTGTAAATGCTCAGCCAATAGCTAGGGTTACTACTAACTAGTTCTTACATTTTAAGTTAACCCATGTTCCTTATTTACTCTCTGCCATGTTGGGGTACCTTTATTAGCATGGCATGTTCATCTCCTGCTCCCTCTGTGTCTGCCTGCGACTGTTCTCATTCCATCCTTCCTTATCCCCTCATTCTCAGTTTGGCTTTCCCTCCTAATTATATCCTATTCAGCTATTGGCCAGTCAGCTTATTTATTAAACCAATCACAGTGACATATATTTACACAGTGTAAAGGAATATTCCACAGCACTTGTGGGAAACTATCCCACTGAACTAAGTCTCTGTTTATACTGCCCTGTGTACTCTCACCCTGAAGGGACCAGCCCCCCATTTTGGCAGCCATGACAGGCTAACATGTGCTCACCTGACCTTGCTAGGCCTGTCCTGGTCACTTGGAGGTCAGAAGCCCTCCTCGTGGCAAGGGACCAATCAGAAGTTAGCTGGTGGGGCTGTGCTTTACGGCTCTGGGTGTGTTTTACGGACAAGTGCACAACAGTGATGTGCAGGGCATAGCAACTGCCCTGGGAGGGCCTATGGGCCATAAAAACCAGTTGACCAATTAACACAGGGCAGGTAGTCCAAGGCTGGAGGCTCACCAATCCTGAGACTGTGCATACCCCTAGACACTACCCTTACACTGCCCTGTCTGATGGTTTCTTGGGGTCTTTCTCCAACCATTTGCCATGGTGGATGGATGAAGGGCCTGAGCTAATGGGGTTAGCTTGTTAAACAACTGCAATAAAAGACTCTCTGCTTTTGCATCAAAATGGGCCTCTTGGTGATTTTGGGGTTCAGAATTTGGGCACAACAACCCCCAGCACCACACTTTGCTTTACTGTGAGGCATATATTATATAGTCTCTGCCCCATTTCCCCAAGCCCTGACTTGAGCATTCACCAATTTTGGTTTCTTTAATTTGTTTTGGTAGAGGTGGTAGGACATCCAGGCCCTAGTAACATGGCCTGTTTGGGCTACTAGGGCCCAGGAAACTTTGCTAACAGAAAGACCTTGCCTCAAAAACAGACAAACAAAACCCCCAAATAGCAAATAACCACTTTATATTTTAATAGCAACCAAAATGAGGAGTAATGGCCAGGTTTATACCAGCAGTCCCAAGCCAGTGAAGCCTTCCTGTTAAACATTCATTCCCTCTGGAAAACTTTGCCCTTTACTTTTGGCAACACCAGCAAATATGGGCATGAGCTTGTGTTCCCCATTGTGAAAGCTGTGGTGACCTGGGGAAGCATTTTTGTTGGGTTCTGGCCCCTATTTTGGACAGTTGGATATTCCAGAGTCCAGATTTTGGGTAAAGGCACAGATCAGTTCTCTTTCAATCACTTGTCACTGAATTTCCTTCTTAGCACCTTTAAGATTAGAGGAGCCACATTGAGTCACTAGCTTCTCTCTATGTCTCTGCATCTCCCTACACACACACACACACACACGCACGCACGCACGCACGCACGCACGCACGCACGCACACACACACACACCTCTTACTTTCCAAGATCAGTGGATAATGACTTGTTGGTCAGCCTCCTGAATAGGTTGGTACTGCCATTCAGCAGGCTGAAGCCCTTTGCTCTAATTGTATAGACATTGTGAGGAGGCAAAAGGAAAGTTCTTCAAGGACTATCAGGTTTTGATGGCCTTTGTATCCCTTGGCTTATGCTAACATTGAGTTTATGGCAGCACACAGCATGAGCAGCAACAAGTTGCGCCCTCTACTGTTACATCTGTGTAGGACTGGCCCTGAGTCCTACAGTGACAAGTGTTATAGCTCTTATATATAGGTCTAGAGTGTCAGCATTCTACAGCCTTTCACAGCATTAGTGTTACAGCTCTTGGATGTAAGGTGTCTGAGACCCTTGGCTCTCAAGTCCCAACAGCTCTCTGGAATTCTTCAAGCAGCCTATAGCTTTTCTCTGGCACTTTACAGCCTTTCATCCTTCAGCCTCAGCTCTGCACACTCTTTCTTCCTGATGTTATGATTTCTGACCTGGTTGCCCTCTGACTTTTCAGCTGCTTCTTTTGCCATGACTACTGTCATGGTTGCTGCCACTGCAATGTTTTGCTGTTTCTTATGCTGTCCTCACTGATGTTTCAGCTGCTACCATAATCAATTCTCTGCTACCACCCACTGCCAGCTCCTGCCACCCTTCTGTTGCTGCTCCCACAGCTCCACCATGCCACTCCCGCAGCTCCCCTGATGCTGTCATTGCTGCTTCTCCACTGTCACTTTCAGGAGATGCAATTTTCTTCAGCAGCAAGCAGTTATAATTGTTGTGTAGCTGCATCAAAGTGTCATGGATCAACCTGGCTCTCTGAGAGTCATAGTTGTGTAAGCATTTGATGGATCAGATAAGATGGATGGGGATTCTGGCACTCAGGAGCCAAAGAATACTGAGTGTTACAGCTCGGATGGGAAGCTATTCTGGCAGTTGGGAGCCAAGGAATACCACAGGTCACAGTAAGCATAGCCCCTTACAGCCCTGCTTCAGGGAAAGGCTTCCTGAGTGTATCAGCTCTGCTCCAGCAGGAGAGGGTTTCCCTGGAGAAGTTGTTACAGCAACTTTGCTTTGCCAGGGAAGGTTTCCCCAGAGAAAAGTGTTACAGCCTTGCTCTACTCCGCCTAGGGTCATATCTGCTCGAGGGAAAGAAGGTCTCACTCAAATCCCATTCAAGAGTTTTTTGGGGGAGGGAAGAATCCATGAGAGTAGCTGCCCTCTGCCAAGGTGGCAGAGAACAGCCGGGCAGCCAGAAGCTGAACAGGCACAGGGTTTATATAGGGCTTCCTAGGGGCGGCGTTTTTCCAGGGAGATTTCCAGGGTGGGGATTGGTCAAATTTTAGTCCCTGAGCTCAGAATGGCTAGGTCTCCTGCTCAGGGATTGGTTGGTTTTCTGCACAGCCTTAGGGTCAGAAATTGCTCTGGTTTCAGGGCCAAAGTGTGTTTCTTTCACTGGTCCTTTTTAGCCTTTTGGCTCTAGTTTTAGGGGCAAGGTGTATTTCTTTCACTGACTCTGATTCCAGGGACAAAGTGTGTTTCTTTGGCACTGGTTTCAGGGTCAGGGTGCATTTCTTTGGTTCTGATTGCAGGACCAAAGTGTGTTTCTTTGGCTCTGCTGAGAGTGTGTTTCTTTAGCTGGACCTTTTTCCTTACAATAGTGAAGCCCAGGAGCAGTATCAAGGTGAAACTTTTGCCTACACGGATATTGCCAGCAGGTTGGGAGGTGAAGTTGAGGAGTGAGAGCTTAGCTCTTCAGCTGAATGTGCTGAAACAAAAACAAAAGCCCTCATCTTAAAGGGAATAAGAGATAGCTTTGTCTGGAGTCAAATATGAGTGACTATGGTTTAAATACCATGTTCCAACATGGTGAGTTTCATGTCGTTTTTATAGTAACAGAAACCATAAAGTTTTTAAAATACTCTTGTGGGTACCATTAGGTAGCTGAGTTAGAGCAATGTGAGGAAATTGCTGATGACATTCTTAATCTTCATGTCGGTGGAAACTAATAGTTTGTACATTCCTAAAGGATTTAACAAATACTTTGTTGGGGACCTCAGGTAGTCAAGTTATAGCAAAGTAGGGACGTCTCTGTTGTAAGTTTCAGATGACAGCCTTAGCTTTTGGGTTGGCAGACGCTAATGTTCTGCCAAGCTAATATATTTCAGAGGTTTTACTTTAGTCATAAGGATTTTGAATCAGAAACAGAAATAAGCAATGCATAGCTATGAAAGGTTCAAATAACCACTCTAGGTAATGCTGGCTTTGGATCTGCATTCCAACTCTATAAACAATCGTGAAGTTCTAATCAATCAGTCCTGTACAATACATAAGTATGGCTCTCTGCTGGGACTATCAATTACATCTTGTTTGCTAAAGTAACAACGCCCTCCCCATTCTTCTCTACATGCTATTAGCTTTGCTCTGGGAGAGGTAGAAACTATGGGGCCAGATTTCATTTGGGGGGGTGAAAGATGAATATACTGCTCGTAGGAAACTATTATTCCCACGCAAGAAAGCAAGTCAGAGAGCAAGAGAAGAGTGCCAGTGCTGCACATTCAACCGAACGGGATCACTGGAGATTCTATCCATGGAGGCCCACGCTCCGCTCCGCCCTCGTTACGGATCCACACCGGAGCCTCAACTGCCCACTATACAAAACAGAGGGCGGGCTTCCGGTTCTAGCTCCGTGACGTCACCGCGCTGCCGGGGCGCGTCATCCCAGCGCGCCGAGCGTGCAGACATGGTGGAGCTGGGCAGAGTGTCGTTGAGCGACCCCGGTGCTGTTCTACCCACGGGCTTCTGGGCCGCCGTGGCCGTGTGGCTGGAGAGGCCGCAAGTAGCCAACAAGCGGCTATGTGGCGCCCGCACGGAGGCCCGCGGCAGCGCTTTCATGCCCCGCGCCCAGACTGAGAAAGGACCGCGGCAGAGACAGGGACCCGGGCTGGAGGGGCATGACGCGGGAGAACCCGGCCAAGCTTCTCCCGAGGCAGAGCCAGGATTAGGATCTAGGGCAGGCCTCGGAGGCTTCGCGGCTGACCTGGACTCTCTGTGGGACCGCGTCTCCCAAAGCCTCGTCCACGACAATCCGGAAATGCTGGCCTTCCTCTCTGGCCCCGCGTTGGGTTCTCAACCGGAAGTCCCGCAGCTCGACCTGATTCTCAGAACCGTCATCCCGAAAGCGAAGTGTCATTACCCTCTTACGGAGCCGAAGAAAGAACTGGTTGTGCAAGGTGGGAACGTAGTGGGATGAACGCGAATAGATTGGAAAGCGTTTTCTTTTTGAGACACAGTGACATATGGCCTGGAATTTGCTATGTAGACCAGGCCTGCCCTGAACTCACGGAGATCTGCTTGCCTCTGCCTCCCTAGTACTTGCATTAAAGACGTGTGCCAACGTGTCCGGTCTGGAATGCATTTATTCACAAGGCTCTAACATTGCTGAAGGGCCTGTGTCTGCAATGTGCAGAGGTCGTGGACACTGAGTGGCTTTGCGAGATATGTGAGAATGTGTGTGTCTTCAGTAGAGGATGGGATTGTTGAGCAGATGCTGGAGGTCTGGAAGGCTTCAGGGAGAGGTGAAGAATGGGCTGGGTGTTGGAGGATACTTTAGTATCTGTAGAGGTAGCTGATGGGGAAGCTGTGCCTGGACAGATGACCTGTGACAGTCTAGTGAATATCACATATTCCTGAGTATTAAACCTGGATGGATGACAGCCTGTTTGTCATCAGTGGTGGTTGTACTTCACCATGAACTTTGAGTATTTCTAGCCTTGAGATTTCAGGAGATCCCTGCCTTGAACTTAACTCTCACAACGTGTTGACTTCCCAGTTGCCACTGTAGCAGATTATTGCCAATGTAATGGCTGGTCAGACAAATTGGTCCTTGCTCAAATCCCTGTGGATCAGAATCCTGGTGGGCTTTGCTGGTTTCCAAGCACTGGACTCTTGCAAGGCCCAAATCCACAAACTGGCTGACTGGGCTCTTCCCAGGAGTCTCTGGGAAAGACTGTGCCTCAGAGCTCACCTGGGATGTCAGGATGCAGTGTTTAGGATTGTAGAATTGGGGCCATTGTTTTGCTCCTAGAAGTCTCTTTGATTTCTTTTTTGGGGGGGGGGGGGGGTTCGAGACAGGGTTTCTCTGTGTAGCTTTGGAGCCTGACCTGGAACTTGCTTTGTAGACCAGGCTGGCCTCGAATCACAGAGATCCACTTGCCTCTGCCTCCCGAGTGCTGGGACTAAAGGTGTGCTCCACCACCACCCAGCGCCTCTTTGATTCTTTTGTCCTGCCCCCTACATCTTTATGCCTGCAGCAGTGCCTGGCCCTTTGCATGCTTTGACTGGATCTCCCTGATGCCTACCTACCCTGTATCCACCTGGAGAAAGTTCTCTGCCAGTTGGTGCTGATGGGATTGGTTGAGTTTGGCCACTTGATAGCCCAGCGTACTTTCTCTTGTAAGGTCTGTAAAGTTCCTCCTGCCACATAATACCACATATTCCTGAGTACTAGCCTTAGGTTGTGGACATCTTTGGGAAACCACTGTGGGTCTTTTGGGCTATAGTCACTGTAGATGCATGCTACTTCCTACATACTATTGATTGTCTCTCTCTGTCTTCCCAAGACATTCTAAGTACTGTGCTCTGGGTAATGAACCCTCTGGTAGTTCTTCCACCTGTTGTCATCAATGTCAGAACATTAATTCTTTCCATCACCCAGCTGTCTTTACAGAGTGAGCTTAAGTGGGGGGGGGGTGTCTAGAAGGGAAGGATGCTGGCTGGCTGCTGGGAAGAAGGAGGCCAGACAGAATTCTCCTTCCTTTCTTTCAGAGAGGCACTACCCCTCCATCAGCAGTGCTAGTATTAGGATCGCTTTCTCCTCAGGCTTCTGCAGGGAGACTCTTCACAGTATTCACCTCTATGGAACCCCCATGTCATGGGTTTAAACTCAACTGTGCCCATTTTTAGCTGTATGACACTGCCTCAGTTTCTTCATTTGCAAAACTGGATACTATAGTTTAGTGAAATTGCTCACTGTAAGGTGCTTAAAACAGTAGTTGGTGGTACATGATACATATTTCTCAATATGGACCTGGAACACAAGCCTGTCATTCCAACCCTGGGAGGTGAAGGCACAAAGATCAGGAGTTCAAAGCCAGGCTCAGCCACATAGCAAGTTTGACGCCAGTCTGGAATACATGAACCTCCATCTAAAACAAAACAAAAAACAAAAGAAACAAATCACTAGATGTAGTGGCTCATGCCTTTAACTTCAGTACCCAGGCAGTAGATCTCTGAGTTTTAGACCAGCCATAGCTATAGCTACATGGTGAGGCCTTGTCAAAACAAGAAAGACACCTTAATGTAGACAGCCAGCTAAGGTTGGTGAAGACAGCCAATTGGTGAAGCATGAAGCCTCTGGCATTGACTAGCCCTCCAGGTTCTTCATCTTCAGCAGAGGGTCTCCACCAGGGACAGTTTTGCTCTCCATAGTTTTGTCACTGTCAGATTGCTTGTGGACAGTTTAACCTTTTACTTACTACTATTGCATGTATATGTTCTCCTTGGCATGCATATGGAGGTCAGAGGACAACTCTGTGGAGTCACTCCTCTCTCTCCACCATTATGTGGGTTCCGAGGATTGAACTCAGGTTCTCAGGCTTGTGCAGCAAACACCTTTACCTGCTGAGCCATCCCACTCACCGGTTCTGTTGCAGGCATTTTTTAATCACATGCGGAGATAGTGGAGCCTGGGATAATGCTGGGCATCCTGCAGAGAAGTAGTCAGCTCCATAACAGATCTGTCCAGCTCCAAACGACAGGGTGCCAAGGCTGCAGAGTACCAATCTGGACCGTGGCAAAGTGATTCTAGATCACAAAGTTGCTATGCATTCTGAATAAGATAGATCATGTTCAAAGCATTAGCCTGTTTGCTTCTCGTCTCTCCTCTCATGGTGGAGCGGCATTTGTGTCAGCTGTGAGGACCCTTGTGGCCTGCACTTGGTCCTGGTGCCCTTTGATTTCTCTCGCACTCTTCACCATTCACCTGTTCTTCACACACTTGAGGCCTTGGCAGGTGTTCCACGGTCTGAACTCTGTTTCAGGGACCCCATCACTTACTCTGACCTTTGGCTCTGCTCAGAAACAATATTCCTGGGGAGGACTTCTGACCTCCCTCAGTGTGTAGCACCCCAGGGTGTCAGTTTCCTGCCCCTCAGCCTGCTGGACTTCTTTGGACCCAGTAGGCCCCTCAGCTCCCACTCATTTTGGCAGATCCTTCTAATGAAGGTGGCTTTCAAGTTGCATTCTTTAATATTAATTTTCACCCCCCCCATTTTGATTTGCTGGTTTTTGTTTGTTTGTTTTTAAATCTCAAAGGTAGGCACAATTGATTTTAAAGAAGGGACTGTATACCCTCAGGCTTCTGATTTCTACATATATAATGCAAGTGACTCTAGTTTAGGGATATGTTGTTCTGCTTGTGTTTTAGTGGGAAGATTCATAGAATGCCCTTTCATGTGGGCGGGCCCTGGAACAATGTTTGCTGTCCAGAAGCAGCCTGTAATGGTTGATGTTCTGTGCCACTTATGTAAGAAGGTCAAGATTATGTGTGGCAGACACTCAAAGCAGGGGCCTCCTTCACTGATCATGAGGGCAGGCCTTTCCTCCAGGCTCACTCTTCCTAGCCCTTGGCTGCCGAGAGTGGTTGTCATGAACCTTGAGCTTTATTCTTTTTTCTTTCTCTTCATTAAATGTATTTATTGTGTGTTTGAGCATGAGCATATGCATGTGTGTCCCACATCACCCTTGTAGAGGTCAAATGACAACTTACAAGAGTCTCTTCCTTCCTTCCATTATGTGAGTCCCAATGATAGAATTCAGGTCTTCAGGCTTGGCAGCAAACACCTTACCTGCTGAGCCATCTTTGGCCCTGACCGTCTCTGTCTGTCTGTCCTTCCTTCCTGTTTTTTTGTTTTGGTTTGTTTTTTTTTTTGGTTTTTCAAGACAGGGTTTCTCTATGTAACAACCTAGCTGCCCTGGAACTCACTCTGTAGACCAGGCTGGCCTTGAACTCATAAACATCCCCTTGCCTCTGCCTCCCAGGTGCTGGTATTAAAGGAGTATACCACTACCACCTGACTCAGGTCTTGTACTTTCTAAGTGCTGGCTGTAATAGTACAAAGTGCAGAGCCCTTCTTCCCAGAGCTGGACTGGAAAGCGTCCCACTGAGGGTTGGAAAGCGTCCTCCTCATATTCATTGCTACTCTGTTCTACTTCCAAGGGAGCTGTTTAGAGCAGCTGTGACCTGTTGGCTTTGTCTTTTTCCCCCAGATGTCACCAATGGGAGTGTCACCTTTTTACCCTTGGAAGAAGATGATGAGGGGAATTTGGTGGTTAAGATGAGCAATGTGTATCAGCTCCAGCTCCATCACAGTGAAGGAGAATGGTAAGAGCTGGATACTGTTCTGTTACACTGCTATGTGATATTCTATCCCTGGGCAGCTGGAAGGTTCTTGGGTGCAGAAGATCCAAGGCCTTGTGTTGGTGGGATGGTCTCGTTTGTATACTATAGTCACCACTCTGCTGGTTTCCTGGTACTGGTCCTAGATTGGGGCTTGCAAGGTGGCTGGAATCCCCAGTCTCTACATTCCACATGGACTTCATGGTCTGCAGCAACTAGTTGGGGTACTCTACTAGTCAGCTCTCTGTTGTTGCAAAATACAAAGGAAGTCATCTTCAGGAGGTTTCAAGGCCAGTGAGATAACTCCACTCACAAAGGTGCTTGCTTCAGATCTTACAACCTAAGTTTGATCCCAAGGACCAACTCATGTTGGAAGGAGAGAACCAACATGTTCTGTGGGTTGTCCTCTATCTTCTGCACACATGTGCACATGTAAACACATGTAAACAGACACACACACACACACACACACACACACACACACACACACACTCACTCAGAGAAAGGATGTTTTAGTTACTGCTCTCTTCTGGGAAATAAGCATGTAACTTAAGAATAAGAATGAAGCCAGCTTTTCTTACTGGTATTTCTCTTATTTTTGAAGGTTCATATCTGTTTTAATTTTCTGTCCAGAGAGGTGGCATTCAGATGGCATTGTTTATCCCAAACCATCCTGGCTTGGAGAGGAACTGCTGTCCAAGCTGGCCAGGTGGGCTGTGGAGAACAGGAAGAGTGAATTTAAAAGCACACTTTCCCTGGTGTCTGTCCTGCGCTACAGCAAGATGTACCAGGAACTCAAAGAGAAATACAGAGACATGGTTAAGGTAATGTTAGAGGAGCATCAGAGGTCCCCTCATTTAACAAGTGTCATGGTCAGTGCCTTCCAGGGAGACTCTTTTCTGTGGGCTTCCTATCAAGTTCAGGTACCACACTGAAAATCCACTGTGGGTGCAGACAATGTAAACCAAGTGAATATTTCAGTACATTTTTAAACCCAGAAGGAGTAAATTTTTTTACATTTTTCAGGAATTCAAAGGGAATTTTTAATCTAAAAATATTAAGCATTGTTTTACCATATTATAAATTTACATTTGTTTAAATTTTATTTTTGTTTTTTGAGATGGGGTCGCTCAGCCCAGGTTAGCCTGAAACTCATGGTTCTCCTGCCTTATCCTCCCAAGTGCTAAAGTTATAAGCATATGGCACCACATGGGGCTGGCTTGTTAAATTTTTTTAAATTATTTATATGTGTGTCTGTCTGTGTGGTGATATGTTCACAGGCATGCAATTGCACACAGAGACAATAGGGTGTCAGGTTCCCTGGAGTCACATGCAGTGGTGGTGAGCTGCCTGACTTGGGCACTAAGAACCAAACTCTGGTTCTTTGCAAGAGCAGTGAACTCTCCTAACCATTGAGCTGTCTCTGCAGCCCTGGCCTCATTAACTGAAAGGTATTTCTAAGACAAGTCTCCAAAAAAATAGCATGCTTCATGACATCATGACCTTGAATTAGTCCTTGTGCTTATAAGGCAAAGTAGCCCACAGTGATTCTTTACAGAGATATGTTTCAGGTCTGTCTACACAGCTGGGCTCCCTTTTCCTGAAGACCCTGACAGGGGTGGGGGGGGGGGTCTTCTGTCCTCCTGTGGACTCTCCATACCTTTAAGAAGGTACTCCTATTTTTCAGATTTTAAATTGTTGCCAGGACATGGTTATCCATTCTATCACTCACTGGACCTGTCTGTTCAGTAAATGGTTAACTCTCAAGGTGCCTTGATTATCCTGCCTGTCAGTCAGAGCCTGGCCCTAGGCAGTTGACCCAGTCTCCTGAGTCCCAGTCTGTGTCTATCTGCACCCTCTCATTGTTTCTTTGTATGAGTACATGCATGTATATGAGTGATGATACATGCACCTATGCATATAATGGAGAGTCCAAGGAGAATGTCATGTGACTTGCTTCATCACTAGGGTTTTACACTAGTAAACTTGGAGCTAGGCTGACAGTCAGCAAGCCCCAATGATCCTATTTCCAATGTCCCAGGGCTGGGGCTATTGGGGCCCATATGGCCATACATGGCTTTTTATGTGGGTGCTGAGGACTTGAACTCTTATCCTCATGCAAGGGAAGCACTTTCCTACTGAGCTTCCTCCCTAGCCCTGTCCTCCTCCCTCATTTCATTAGTATTGTGTTTATCCAGATGAGCTGACTTTTTTCTGTGTCAGACATCTTAAACTATATTGTTGATGCTTTGGATCACTTTGTACAGGACACTCTCTGTCCTATACACACAGTTGTGTAAAGCACTAAACTGTAAGAAATCAGCTGTGAGTTCATGCCTTTGAAATGAAATTGTGTATTTACTATATAGTTAGTTTGGTTTGACTTAGGCTGTTTAGAGAAGGTTATTTTCACAGCTATTTACATATTCCCTAAAACATTTTAGGTTTGGCCTGAAGTAACAGATCCTGAGAAGTTTGTCTATGAAGATGTGGCCATCGCTACATACCTGCTGGTAAGAACACTAGCAGTGTTCACACTCATATGGAAGGTGTGAAGCTTGCCTCTGGCAGATGCTACTAGCTGGGGGTGGAGTAGTCACCAAGTCAGGACTTGAGGTTTTCCCTGCTATGAAACGATTTCACATCCTGCATGAGCACAGAGCATGTGTGAATCAGGAAGGTGGGGTACAAGAGGGCAGAGGGGGCAGGAGTCAGTGAGACACAGTTGTCACTGTGGAGGCACTGACAATCCAGTGCCATCCAGCTGTGGGCTGGTCCTCTTTCCCCTAGTTTGTCCTTTACTTGCTGGTTAACTAGCTCAACTGTACACTTCTTTAACTCAATACTCTGAATTTTCTTATCTATAAAGTATTTAAACTTAGAGCTTCTCAGTTTCCCTTTAGCTTGTAGTTCTTTTAGTTTAGAAAACAGGGTTATTTTGGTTTTTAAGGCATGCAGATGTTAAAAGATGAGGAAAAAATGTAGAGAAACGTCATCTTGGTGTGCTGATGTCTAGAGATGACCACTGGATGTTGATGCCATTTTTCTGGTGCTGGGATGGAACCCAGGGGAGAGCCTCATGTGCTGGGCTCTCTCTATCATGAGTACCACTGAGCTATATCCTAGCCCTGAATTAATGCAGCATCAGGAGAGAAGACTGGGACAGGGGTCCCAGTATCCTCAGGCCAAAGACCCCATCTGTTCTGCTCATTGTGTCCCCTGCCTGAGCCCTGGGGTCTTGGGAGAAGTTTCTCCATCCTTCCTCTCCCCCAGTGGCATTAGTGTTTGGGTCCTTCTTTTTGTTTATAATACTTGGACTGGAACCCAGGGCCTCACACATGCTAGGCAAGTGCTCTACCATTGAGCCATTCATCACCAACTGCTTTTCTAAAATCTTGAGACAGGATCCCACTAGCCTTGAGCTTGCAGTCCTCCTGCCTCATCTTCCCAAGATTACAGGTGTGTGCCTTTGCTCCAATAGGTTTGTTCTGGAACAGAATTAGTCAACATGTGGGTTGTTTTTACTTTGTCTCTTTCCTCAGATCCTGTGGGAAGAGGAGAGGGTCGAGAGGGGAGTCACCACCAAGCAATCCTTCGTGGACTTGGGGTGTGGAAATGGCCTCCTGGTCCACATCTTGAGCAACGAGGGGGTGAGCATAGCTCTATTGTCTTTTCTTAAGGTTCTAGGTTGGACAAAGGGGCCCCCATGTTTCTTGTTTTTAACTTTGAGGCAAGGTTTCACTGTGTAACTTGACTAGCCTAGAACTTGCTGTGTAGTCCAGGTAGTCTCACACTCACAGAGAACCACCTATCTCTGATTCCAGAGTATGCAGCCACACCTAGCTCCAACATTTATTGATGCTACAGCCTGGACTTGGAGTCAGCCTGGCTCAAAGTGGTGTCCACAACTTCAAGCTAGAGCTTTACCGGGTGTTAATAAGGGAGACATTTGCAGTAGTGTCCCTGTGAAAACTTGGAAGCTGTGTGTAGAGGTGACAGGAAGGTTCTGTAGCCCTCTACCCAAGTTGGGGAATGAATAACGGTTGCAGCCAGGGACCTTGGTGCAGCTGATCACAAGGTTGCCTTCCCCTATGTGTTCTCTGGACACAGCCTGGGATGCAGGCTGCTGTGGTCCCTTTTGAATATCTGTGGTGATCACTGGTAGGTTCTCACTAGCCATGCAGGTGTGTAGTCTTGCCAAAAGTTGAGAGATGTGCCTCACACAGATGCCAGACATATCCTGCTCTTCCTATGTTGCAGTAGCAGTCCTTGCAGCTTTGTTATTTTTTTCTGACTTACTGCAGTTGCTCACACTTAACCCATGATTTTAAAACTACTCATTTCAGCATCCAGGCAGAGGGATCGATGTCCGAAGAAGAAAGATCTGGGACATGTATGGACCCCAAACTCAGCTGGAGGTACTGCTCTCCCCCCACCCCAACACATTCTCTGTAGCTCTATCAAGATTGTCTCCTAGAGTCAGCTGTTGGCAGGAGTGCCTGTGAATTTAGTCAGCTCTCACTGCAAGTGTTCACTTCAGTTGGAGTGCTCTGACATAGGAAGGAGAGAGACAGGGGACATTTTCAGCTCTGCACAGCCTCTGGTTACAGTGACCTTGTCTGGAGATCACTTCCCTGAGCTGTGTTGTGCGCGCGCCAGTGGGGTGTGTGTGTGTGTGTGTGTGTGTGTGTGAGAGAGAGAGAGAGAGAGAGAGAGAGAGAGGGAGAGAGAGAGAGGGAGGTGCTCCATGCTGTCTGCAGAGTGGAGATGTCTTTTTCCCTCTCTCAAGGCCTGCTTCAGGATCCTGTTCAGATACCCACTCTGAGTGATGACATGCAGCTGTTAAACCTCTCTGGAAATAACCTCATAGACCCAGAAGTGTGTTTCCTAGTGACTCTAAACTCTGTCAGGTTGGCAATCAAGATTAACCATCTCAGCATGATGAGCCCCAAGTATTCACTAGCAGCTCCCACTGTGCCTGTCTGCTCCCACTGCTCCAGACACTGCTCACAGCTGCCACCTTGACTGCCTGCCCACTCCCTGCCCCAAACACTGCCCACAGCTGCTGCAGTACTGACTGCCCCTGCTGCTGCTGTAACTGTCTTCTCCCACTGTCCGCAGCTGCCACAGTGACCGTCTGCCACTGCTGCCCAGACACTGTCCACAGCTATTACTGTTTCATCTGTAGCAAAAAGTACAACTTTAGAGACTTGGAATTTCTGCCATCTTGTCTCTGTTTCAAGTTGGGATAATGATGGGGAATGTCCTTCTGTATGCTCTGAATATGTGTTTCTCTTATTGGTTGATGACTAAAGCTCTTTCAGTCAGTGGACAGGCAGGATTTAGCCAGGTGGGAAATCCAAGCAGGGATAGAGCAAGGTAGCAGGCAGAGTCAAGGAGATGCTGTGTAGTTGCCAAGGAAGCAAGAGGCCCTGGTATCATCAGTAAGCCAAGACAATGTGGAGATACGCAGATTAATAGAATTGGGTTAATAATTAAGGGAGAGCTAGCCAATAAGAAGCCTGAGCCATTGGCCAAACAATTTATAATTAATATAAGCCTCTGTGTGTTTATTTGGGACTAAATGGCTCCAGGACCGAGTGGAGCAGAAATTATTAAAATGATAATATGACAAAGGCTTGGGGGATAGGGAGCTCACTGCCAGCCCCTCACCTTATTCTTCCTTCTGTATTCATGGTTGCTTTCCCAGGGATTCTTATTGCTTGTAGATTCATATTATAGAAAATTTAGACAAGCAAGAAGGTGAACTTTTGGGAGGTAGATGCAGGAGGATCAGCTATATAATGAGTTTAAAGCCAACCTAGGTTACATGAAACCCTGCCCTTAAAAAAAGGAAAGAAAATTGAGAAATGTTGTTAGGAATGGGAATGGTAACATATATCTTTAATCTTAGCTCTTGGGAGGCAGAGGCAGGCAGACTCTGAGTTCTAGACCAGTTAGTGCTAAATAGTAAGACCTTATGTCCAAAAAGAAAGAGAAATGCTTCTAGTGTCTTGAGCGTGAGGACTGTTGGGAAGTTAGCAGGTTCATAGAGAGCCCTGCAGATAGATGCGAGTCCATAGATCCTCATGCTCGGTGCCTAACACTCTGAATTGTGTGTGAGACTGACAATCAGCATGAGTAATTTAGCAGATGCCAGCTTCCCTGTGTCCCCGGGTCTTAACCCTCTACTTGGAATGAACTTCAAACTACCCCACTAGTAAGTTCTGACTGAAGGAAGGGCTGGTTGGTGTGAGGGGCATTTAGGAAATGTATAGAGGTTTGAGCTGTTTTTCAGGGGTCCCCAGCACCTGCCTCAGACCTGTCAATGAGTCACCGGACTCAGGAACCTCTTCTAGTCTCAGTGCCAGCACCACTGGTTCTAGTGTTAAGTATTCCAGGAAGAAGCTGACAGTGTTTCTTTTGACTTTCTGCCTGAGCCTGTGACCGTGAAGCTTCACTGGAAGCTGCATGCTGCTAGTGTATTTCCTAGTAAAAAGTTTGTTTTTAGCTGTAATTGTGTGATGTCTGTGATAGCTCTGCCTAGAAATCCCATCCATCTTGGCTTAAGCTTCTTTCTAATCCGTGTTCAGTGCAAGTGTGTTTGGAATCCTTTGTTAATATGGTGTTGTGATGATCTCAGATCATCTTAAGTTTGTGCATCAAACAGGATAGTTGCAGTTTTCTATATTCAGAAGCCCTTTTGTGAAGCAAATCTGACTTTCCAGGATGGTGTTGTCTAGTAATGGCAATCCAAGGTATAAATAAGTCTTGATTCATGAGGAGACAAGTGGGCAGATTTAAATTCAGAGTTAGTGCAATGATAATAAATGTTGCTGAAGGTTTGTTCTCCTATGAGGCTATGCACTTGGCAGTTGGCCAATGTATGTTCAGTATCTTAGCATCTGTGTAAACAGCACCACAGTTGCTGTGATGCTTCTTCTGTGAGGGCTGTTGTAGGGAGCTAACAGTCCTATGCTAAGGACTGGGGTAGAGAGCAGGGCTGGAGAGGCAGGCATGGTCAGAGTGACTCTCCATCCCCTGGGGTCTGTCCTTCACTGTCTCAGGTTGTGATGCACCTTCTTCCTCTCTTTCTCCAGTCAGTTCTCTAAGATGTCACTGACCACAAGGAAGGGTTATGTGCAGAGAAACTCAGAAGGGCAGGATGGGTGAGGTGTCACTGCTGAGAGTTCACTGACCAATGTGACAGAATAGCCCAGAACTGAGTAGACTTTACTTCCCCTCCTCAGAGGAGACAATTCAGCAGCTGTCTCTCGGTTGGTTGCTTTCTGTATTTATGCAGAAAGTAAGTTTTAGTTATCACCCAGAAAAGTACTCTTTTGTGGAGCCCCAAAAGCCCCAGTGATTTGTGTCCTTGAAGACCAACTAGGCAGGACAGTTATCTCCTTCTTAGTAAGTTGGGCATGGTCGAGGCATAGGAGGATCATGTGGTAGGTGAACTGTGGCTATGAGTCATGGCTCAGAACTTTTGGTGCATGTACTGACTGGTTCATCTTGTGTGTCATTCTTAAGGAAGGTTCCATTACCCCGAGTGACAAGACCCTGTTCCCTGATGTTGATTGGCTGATTGGTAATCACTCTGATGAGCTCACTCCCTGGATCCCTGTCATTGCAGCCAGGTGAGTAGGAAAGGCAGGCGGCTGTTTCTTCCTGAGCACACAATATCCACAGAGGCAGCCCCTAGCCACTGTGGTAGTAGGGCATTTGACATGGTAACTCAGGGTATTGAAATGGCAGTAGCATAGATATATTGAGTAAATTTAAATACCCCTGCTTTTTTTTTCTGAAATTGTGGCTACTAGAAAACCTCCGTCACACATGTGTTTCCTCTCATGTTCTGTCAGCCAACACTGATCCCAATTACATCTCTGTCATTTCTTTTTTTTTTATTATTTTATTTTTTATTGAGCTATACATTTTTTCCTCACTCCCCTTCCCTATTCGTCTCTCTCCTTCCACCCTGCTTTCTGTCCCCCAGGCTCCCAATTTACTCAATAGGTTTTGTCTTTTTCTCCTTCCTAGGCGGATCCGTGTATGTCTCTCTTAGGGTTCTCTTTGTTAACTAGGTTCTCTGGGGTTGTGGCCTGTAGTCTGGTTGTTGGTTGTCCTTTGCTGTATGTCTGATATCCACTTATGAGTGAGTTCATATTGTATTTGTCTTTCTGGAGTACCTCACTTAGGATGGCTTTTTGTAGGCCCATCCATTTGCCTGTAAATCTCAAGATTACATTGTTGTTGGTTTTTTTTTTTTTTTTTTTAACCTCTAGTAGTACTCCATTGTGTAAATGCACCACATTTTCCTTATACATTCTTCAGTTGAGGGGCATCTAGGTTGTTTCCAGGTTCTGGCTATTACAAATAATGCTGCTGTGAACATAGTTGAACAGATATCCTTGTTGTATGAATGTGCAACCCTTTGGATATATGCCCAAAAGTGGTATTGCTGGGTCTTGAGGTAGGTTGATTCCCAATTTTCTGAGGAACCATTATACTGATTTTCAGAGTGGCTGTACAAGTTTGCACTTCCACCAGCAATGGAGGAGTATTTCCCTTACTCCCATAAGATGGTATCTCAGAATCGTTTTGATTTGCATTTTCCTGATGGCTAAGGATGTTGAGCATTTTCTTAAGTGTCTTTCGGCCATTTGAGATTCCTCTGTTGTGAATTCTCTTTTTAGATCAGTACCCCATTTTTTTTTTAATTGGATTATTTGCTCTCCTGCTGTCAAGTTTCTTTAGTTCTTTGTATATTTTGGAGATCAGACCTCTGTCAGATGTGGGATTGGTAAAGATCTTTTCTCATTCTGTAGGCTGCCATTTTGTCTTGTTAACAGTTTTCTTTGCTTTACAAAAGCTTCCCACTTTCAGAAGGTTCCATTTATTCATTGTTGCTCTCAGTGTCTGTGCTACTGGTATTCTATTTAGGAAGTGGTCTCCTGTGCCTGTGCATTCAGGGTTATTTCCCACTTTCTCTTCTATGAGGTTTAGTGTGGCTGGGTTTAATTGAAGTCTTTGATCCATTTGGACTTGAGTTTTGTGCATGGTGATAGATATAGATCTATCTGCAGTCTTCTACATGTCAGCATCCAGTTATGTCAATACCATTTGTTGAAAATGCTTTCTTTTTTTTCCATTTTATAATTTTAGCTTCTTTGTCAAAATCAGGTGTTTATAGGTATGTGGATTAATATCAGGGTCTTCAATTTGATTCCATTGGTCCACCTGTCTGTTTTTATGCTAATACCAAGCTGTTTTCGTTACTGTAGTTCTATAATAGAGTTTGAAGTCAGGTACCGTGATGCCTCCAGAAGTTCCTTTATTGTACAGGATTGTCTGGGCTATCATGTGTTTGTTTTTCCATATGAAGCTGAGTATTGCTCTTTCCAGGTCTGTAAAGAATTGTGCTGGGATTTTGATGGGTATTGCATTGAATCTGTAGATTGCTTTTGGTAGGATTGCCATTTTTACTATATTGATCCTACCTATCCAAGAGCATGGGAGGTCGTTCCATTTTCTGATGTCTTCAGTTTCTTTCTTCAAAGATTTAAAGTTCTTATCATACAAGTCTTTCACTGTTTGGTTAGAGTTACCCCAAGATATTTTATGTTATTTGTGGCTATTGTAAAGGGTGATTTTTCTCTGACTTCTTTCTCAGCCTGGTTATCACCTGTATAAAGGAGGACTACTGATTTTTTGTTGTTGTTGTTGTTGTTAATCTTGTATCCTGCTGCATTACTGAAGGTATTCATCAGTTGTAGTTCCCTGGTAGAATTTTTGGGGTTACTTAAGTATACTATCATATCTTCAGCAAATAGTGAAAGTTTGACTTCTTCTTTTTCAATTTGTATCCCCTTGATCTTGTCTTTATTGCTCTAGCTAGAACTTTGAGTACAATATCGAATAGATATGGGGAGAGTGGACAGCCTTACCTTGTTCCTGATTTCAGTGGGATTGCTTTGAGTTTCTCTCCATTTAGTTTGATGTTGATTGCTGGCTTGCTGCATATTGCCTTTATTATGTTTAAATATATTCCTTGTATCCCTGATCTCTCCAAGACCTTTATCATGAAGGGATGTTGAATTTTGTTGAAGCATCTAATGAGATATCTGATCATGTGGTTTTTTTTTTTTTCCCCCCTTCCAGTTTGTTTATATAGTGGATTACATTGATGGATTTTCATATGTTGAACCATTCCTGCATCTCCAGGATGAAGCTTACCTACTTGGTCATGGTGGATGATTTTTTTTGATGTGTTCTTGGAATCAGTTTGCTAGTATTTTATTGAGTATTTTTGCATCAATGTTCATGAGGGAAATTGGTCTGTAATTCTCTTTCTTAGTAGTGTCTTTGTGTGGTTTGGGTATCAGGGTAACTGTAGCCTCATAAAAAGTTTGGCAATGTTCCTTCTGTTTCTGTTATGTGGAACAATTTCAGGAGTATTTGTATTAGTTCTTCTTTGAAATTCTGGTAGAATCCTGAGCTGAAATCATCTGGGCCCGGGCTTTTTTTGGTTGGGAGACTTTTGATAACTGTTTCTATTTCCATAGGGGTTATAGGTCTATTTAATTTGTGTATCTGGTCTTGATTTAATTTTCATATGTGGTACTTATCCAGAAAATTGTCCAGTTCCTTTAAATTTTCCAATGTTGTGGAATACCGGTTTTTGAAATATGATCTGATGATTGATTCTCTGGATATCCTCAGTGTCTGTAGTTATGTCCCCTTTTCATTTCTGATTTTGTTAATGTGGATATCCTCTCTCTGCCTTTTGGTTAGTTTAGATAAAGGTTTGTTTATCATATTGATTTTTCTCTAAAAGCTAACTCTTTGTCTCATTGATTCTTTGTATTGTTTTCTTTATTTTTATTTTATTGATTTCAACCCTCGATTTGATTATTTCCAGCCTTCTACTTCTCCTGGGTGAGTTTGCTTCTTTTTGTTGTAGAGCTTTCAGTTGTTCTGTTAATTCATTAGTGTGGGGTTTCTCTAGCTTCTTCATGTAGGCATTTAGTGCTGTGAACTTTCCTCTTACCACTGCTTTCATTGTGTCCCATAGGTTTGGGTATATTGTGCTGTCTTTCTCATTGAATTTTAGGAATTCTTTAATTTCTTTCTTGATTTCTTCCTTGACCCAGTGGTGATTCAGTTGAGTATTGTTCAATTTCCATGAGTTTATTGGCTTTCTGCAATTAGTGTTGCTGTTGAATTCTAACTTCAAGCCAGGATGGTTTGATAAGATACAGGGGGGTATTTCAATTTTTTTTTAATCTGTTGAGGTTTGCTTTGTTACCAAAGTAAAGTTGGTCAGTACTTGGTCAGTTTTTGAGAGGGTTCCATGTGGTGCTGAGAAGAAGGTATATTCTTTTGTGTTTGGGTGGAAGTCCTATAGAAGTCTGTTAGGCCCATTTGAGTCATAACATCTGTTCGTTCTTTTGTTTCTCTGTTAAGTTTCTGCCTAACAGAACTGTCCAGTGTTGAGAGTGGGGTGTTGAAGTCTCCCACTGTTAATGTGTGGTGCTTCGTGTGTGATTTAGGTTTTAGTAATGTTTCTTTTACAAATGAGGGTACCCCTTGTATTTAGGGCATAGATGTTCAGGCTGGGGTCCGTGGCTCACATTGGCATTGACTTCTTCTGTGTCTCCATATCTGGCATTTCTATCCCATATTGAAAGATGTGTGATTTTGGGGGGAAGATTCTGATTTTAGAGGGTTTATTTTCAAGGGGAAAGTCTTTCCTTAGATCTATTGCAGCAGTCTGCAATTTAGACAGCACTTTGAAGAGTCTGGGACACTCCCTGTGCCTTCAACCTACCTCCCTTAGTCTTTTATGGGGGTCTCTCCTACCACCAGGACTCTGAGCTGTTTGTGTTAAGCTCTACTCCAGGTCAAGTCTGAACTTATTTTTGCTGTGCCTGTCTTGGTTTCTGATTCCTACCTGAAGTTTCAGCACCAGAAAACTGAAGTCACAGTGGGCCAGAGTAACTGCACAGGAAAATTATTTTTTATTGATTCAATTTCTATTTTGTTGAAAGATACAATGGTTTTTAGACATCCATGGGAAACAATACCAGTTTGGTAACTAAGCCTGTAACCCCAATACATCTGGGCCACATGAGAACCTGTGGCCTCAAAAAAGTAAACAAGAAAGACCCATTGCTTTAGCTGTCAGAATATCCAGGAGCAGCTTACGTGTACTCGGCCTTGGGCTACTTGTGCATACTGTGTTGCACTTGCCTATCTGGATCTGTGCTGGGCTCCTCGGGGCTTCCTGGATCTGTGCTGGGCTCCCTGGGTCTGTGCTGGGCTCCCTGGGTCTTCCTGGGTCTGTGTTGAGCTCCTTGGGTCTTCCTGGATTTCTGTACTGGGCTCCTCAGGTTTTCCTGGGTCTATGCTAGGTTCCCTGGTTCTTCCTGGATCTGTGCTGTGTTCCTGGGGTCTTCCTGGGTCTGTGATGGGCTCCTCCAGTCTTCCTGGGTCTATGCTGGGCTCCCTGAGTCTGTGCTGGGCTCCTTGGGTCTTCCTGGGTCTGTGCCGGGTTCCCTGGGTCTTCCAGATCTGTGCTGGGCTCCCTGGATCTTCCTGGATCTGTGCTGGGTTCCTGGGGTCTTCCTGGGTCTGTGCTGGGCGCCTGAGGATTTCCTGGGTCTCTTTCTCCTCCAGGTCCTCCTACACCTGCCGGTTCTTCATCCTTCCCTGCTGCTTCTTTGACTTTGTGGGGCGATACTGCAGGCGGCAGAGCAGGAAGACACAATACCGGGAGTACCTGGACTTCGTGCTGGAGGTGGGGCTTTCCTGTGGCTTCCACATGCAGGAGGACTGCCTCAGGATTCCTTCTACCAAGCGGGTATGTGCCAAGCAGGCTTAGGGCCAGGGAGTATGTGCTGCTTTGGTCTCCTTCAAGAAGTTTCCTTCAGAGCTCATTTTCAGGCTGGCAGCCTTCTTCCAAATGGCATCATGTTGGCAAGTCTTGCTCCTCTGGGTTGGAAAACAAGGTTCAGTCTGGAGTGTCAGAGACCTGTATTTTGCACCTGCTATTCCATGCAATCTCTGACCCAGTTGGGTGGTATGGGTGGTGCCCAGTAAGTGCCAGACAAGCCACCCAGCTGGTGGGGACACATCAGATACCACTCTGCTCCAAACCCAGAACACCTGACAGGGCTAGGTTACCTTAATGGAATTCCATTGACTCCCTTTGCTGGTATGCACTCTGGAGTTAATGATCAGAGGGAAAGTGTTCAGGAAGTTCCGTAGATGCATTGGGCACCCATATTGTTCTGAGTATCATGCTAGCAGGTTTATATACAGCCTCGTTCTCTTACAGATCTAAAAGAACTTTGAGAAGTAAATGGTGTCACCTTTGGGGCAAAGGCAGGCCTAGTAAAGACCATCCAGAGTAAAGCCCTTAGAACCCTCAGCTGACTTGCACATTCCATAGATCTGCACCCACATTCCTCACTGGCCTTTATTGTTAGCTTTTTTATTTTTTAAATCATTTCTGTTGGTATCTGTTTTTAAGAAAACAAAACAGAACAGGATTTCAGGGCTTAAGGTAGACCTCAGAGGGGAATGTTTTCCAGCATACGCGATGCCTTGGATTCCATCCTGAATACAATCAAAAGGCTAAAGTAAGGATTTCTCTCTTCTTATGACATAGTTCTAAAACTTTGGTGTAAATTGTTCTTTAGCATAAGAGTGCTCCATGAAGAATGTTGTAATATAGTGTCTCTTCAAACTCAGGTCTGCCTCATTGGGAAATCCAGAACATATCTGCCTTCTGCAGAGGTCTGGATGGATGAGCAGAGGACACGGTACCTCCACAGCAGACAGAGCCACCCCGAGAGCCCACCTGGTGAGGGACATGCACCTTCTGCAACCCAGGCTGCTGCCCACGATGCTGGTCACCAGGACAGTCACAGGACCTTCGATACTGGGGCTGAGTGCATGCCTGACAACCTGGCTACTGAGGGCAGAGCAGCACCAGCCACAGGGCTCTGGATACCTGGGTTCTGCCCTAGAGAAAAGGCCGAGCGTGTGAGGAATTGCGCTGCCCTTCCTCGAGACTTCATTGACCAAGTGGTTTTACAAGTGGCAAATTTGTTGTTAGATAGGAAGAAGTTAAATATGAAGAGTTCTGAGGACAGGAGTCTGAAGACCTGGAATGAAGGAGGTAGGCCTCATCCTCCAGGGAAGGCTTACTAGCCTGCATGGACTATGGGTCTTTGTAGCTCAGCATACCCAGAGGCTGGGCGTTGCTGTTCAGGGGAGGAAGGTGGAAGCCATGGCTGCTGGTGTTTGTGCCTTAGAAATGATACACCCAGAGAACAGGTTTCCGAGTGTCAAAAAGCCCCACTTCCTTGAATGTAAATTTAATACTTTCATTCCCTGCAATCCCTAAATACAGGACTGTTGCCATGGAAGAGACAGTTGCATCTGATTGCTCATTGATTGGAACCTACACATTAGAGAAAAACAAGCAAAGTAGGGTTGCTCTTACATGCAAAGTTGAGGTTGTCAAAGCTTTCAACTGCACCCCTTCCTTCCTCCTGTGACCGCCAGAGGGCACTATGGGCCAGGGTTACACCTGAAGCTGTGAATGTTGCTTAGTTCTTACCCTGCAAGTGGCCTCAGCATAGCTTTGAGCAAAGTGGCAACACTCATCCTCCATGCCACATCCTCATCTGTCACTTTTGGGTTCAGGTTTCTTCCCTTTACCCTTTCATCTCCCACATGTGACATGGCAGGACCTTCTTATATGTTCCCCTTTAGAACTAACTAATCCTGGGAGGCCCTCTGGGACACTGGCCAGATTGGCCTTGGTTCAGGTGGCCATGTAACTTCAAGACCCATCACTGTGGTTTGGGGCTAGCATCACTGTTTAGATGCTAATATGGGGTCTTTGCAGAGGGAGGCAGGCAAGGTTTCCCAACAAGGCTGGAAGAACACAGGGCGGCACTGGGATGATGCTCTGGGTGTGAAAGTTCCTGAGTGTGCTGTGCAACAGGATTCGTAGTTTAACCAAGGAAGTGATGGGAATTGGGGGGCTGCTGGGCTGTGTCTAGTGTGAGCTAGCTGGACCCTCCTTCAGACCTAGGTCCAGAGACAGCTCTGGGGCCTGGGTCTCATCCTGCCTGCTACCTGGTGGAGCACCAGAGTACCAAACCTTCACTGACAGGTGTCCGGATGCCTGGGCTCATTGGAGGCTCCCAGGTGCCCCTGGATGAGAATCATCTCTGTGAGGAAGGAGTGGTCCTGGACTTCTGAGCTCACAGACAGCCTCTCTCCACTCTTATCTGATAGAGGCCTGGGCATTTTCCTCAGGATGTCATTGCTGGATCCTGGGAAGGAGGCCCTCAGGTCTGGATCAGGTAGTGTTGCTACTGCCTGACTGATAAGGCTGTGGAGACTGGGCTGTCTTTAGCCTCCAGCTCTAATGGGAGACACGGGTGTGCTGCAAGGTACAGGGAGATGATTCTTGACAAAAAGCCCCAGAGAGACGACCCATTGTCATCTTAGTCGAAATAGACTTCATTGTTATGGGTGTCTGACGGAGTGTTTTTAAGTATGATCGAGGTCTTGAGCAGCATTGTGAATGGGAGAGGCCTCACTGTGATATCTGTGATTCTGTGTCAAACCTCCCACTCCAGCCCACCTGAGTGCCTGGCCCACGTGGCCAGTACCCTGCAAAGCTCCAATGGCAGCTTGGCCAAGAGACACAGTGAAAGGCTTGCCTGTTGGCCCTGCCTCCTCAACTCTGGGTTGTATCTCATTTGTATGGTTCCAAGAATGTGGGGGGTGGGCCACCCTACCAGTTGTTGGTAGATTTACTTGATGCTCAACCTGCACAATGGAAGCACAATGTGGTCCTATGCTGGAACATTGTGTCACTGTGGCTGGGGTGACTGCTGCCCCCATGTCCTGTGGTTATAAGGTGTGGATTCATTAAAGTGTATGCACAGAATCCTGCAGCTGAAGCACACATGGGACTTGAAGCTGCAGGATTGGATTTGGCTTTGGGACATGACAGTCTATGCTGGGTAAAGGCTTGTAATCTGTGCTGTTTGTGAACACCTGCTTTTCCATAGGGAGCCTTTCTCTGGCAGAAGTGGCTGCAGAACTGAACCCAGAGACCCTGCAGCAGCTGAAGCGGGAGTGTGGAGGCCTACAGACCCTACTCAGGAATAACCATCAGGTGTTTGAAGGTAAAATCTATGAGGTCACCATACATTGTCCATCCCGCTTATTCCCAGCAGTTCCTCCCTGTGCATTCTGGAGAACTCTGCTTTCTGTCCCCAATGGCTGTGATACTTAAGGGGCTACCTAGATGTTCAGAAGAACCAAGTGGACAGTGTGGTGGCCCTGTGCACACCCAGGCCACCATCAGCTTGTATCTTAGGGTGAGGCCATTGCTATCCTTCTCTCTAGGCACACTCCAGTCTCGTCTCAGGCTCCCTGTGCCTTGGTCCAGGTGGCTCCTGTCTAGGATGTGTCCCTGAACCTCCATTGCTTCTGTGATGCCTGTTTCTCACACAGGACTGGTGGTCAGTTCTGGCTGCATCTGTCACTACAAGACCATTTGTTCCCCTTTGTCTCCTGCAACAAGAAGAGTGTGGTGCTGTAGAGCCAATCAGGCAGTTTGGGGACATGAGCCTTCTCTTTGTCTTTGCTTGATGCCTCCACCTTACAGTCCTGGCACAGGGACTCTTGAGTAGCCCTCCTGCTAGACTGAGGCTTGGCTCTGCTCCAACACTGGATTCCATAGCTCCAGAGATAAAAGGGCTCATTCTCCATGGATCATTGCTCCGTCCCTGCCCTGTGGGAACGTTCAGTCTAAGGATGTGGAGTGGAGTATGATAGTGTCTACCCAGAGGCCTGAGGTGTAGACACTGCCATTGAGGTCATAAGTGTATAGGACTAGCACAAGGCAGGAAGAGCTGCAGGGCCTGATTCCTCTCACCAGCCCTCCCCATGGGCCACTCCTGCTTCATGAAATGTGTGTCTCCCTTTAAAGTACACTCTATGTCTTAGTGTTGCTATTGCTATGATAAACACCATGACCAAAACCAACTTGTACAGGGAAGGGTTTATTTGCCTTACATATCACAGTCCATTGGGAAAAACCAATGCAAGAACTCAAACTAGGCAGGACCCCTGGAGGCAGCAGTTGATGCAAAGGCTGTGGATGATTGCTGCTTACTCTCTTGTTCAGCCTGTTTTCTTATATAGAAGCCAGGACCACCAGCCTAGGGGTGGCCCTACCCACAATGGACTGGGCGCTCCCACATCAATCACTAGTTAAGAAAATACCCTGCAGGCTTGCCTGCAGCCCAGTCTTCTGGAGGCATTTTCTCAGTTGAGGTTGCCTCCTCTCAGATGACTATAGCTTGTATCAGGTTGACATAAAGCTAGCCAGCACACCCCACCTGGAGTACATTCACCCAAGGTACAGCATTAAATACAACAGGTATTATCTTTTCTTGCTTGCCAGTATGCCTTCAGCACAGGTATCCTCTTGGGCTTAGTTACTTAGAAAGGCTTTCCTTAGGGGGTGTTCATATTGTTGGGACTAGGAGAAGAGGAGTCTGGGAAGTGAGGAGGACCAGGAGGTGAGGACTCTGGGAAGTAAAGAGATCCAGGAGAGTTTTAGTCAGTGGGATGGTATATGTGAGGGTCTGGGTTGGGTAGCAAGCTGCTGTTGCAGTGGCCAGAGTACTCTGGCTTCTATGACTAGCATAAAGGGTTGATCCCCAAGTGGCCTGGGAAGGAGCAGCCTGGCTTCTATGTCTCTGCTTCTGGGATCTGTGGCAAATTGGTACTCAGACTGCAGCCGAGAGGCCAGCACTGTGCACCTCATCCTAACTGTGGGACTTGAGGCAGGTTGGGGTCCATGAAGGGCCACTGACTGATGGTGATGGGAACGGGGCTTTGATGGGGACACAGGCGTTAGAAACAGTTGTTCCCACCTCAGCCCACGAATCTTAGACATAAGGATTAGGGGTCCCATGTTCCACTTTGACAGATGAATGCTGTCAGTCCCAAGCATGTGAAAAAATACATGATAACATGGGTGTCTGGTACTCCTGAATATTGTATTTGAACATGTTTGTGTACTTGCTGCCTATGTGTGTATGCCTGGGAATATGGGTGTCAAGTACTCTCCCGTGTGAGGGCATGGCTGTGTAGTTCTGCACACCTGCCCTTGGGTGGCCCAGTTGTCCTTGTGAAGTGGAATATGGTTCTCTGTCACTAACTGACCTGCACTTGGGTGAGTTTTGTTCGTGGGTAGGTGCAAGAATGGCCTGACATAGCGCCTGGAGGTGTTGCTGAAACCAAGAGCTCCACACGCAGATCTCCAGATGAGCTGCCCTTGCCTGGAATCTGTGATTCTTACAAAACTTTAATCAGTTAAAATGCTACAGCCTGAGGGGCCTCTCTGTCTCCCACATGTTTTCTTTGATTTCATGAAGGACTATCACTCCTGTCCCCATGTGTGCATGGGGTTAACTGCTTCTCTGTGCAGTTCTCTTGGGGAGGGGCAGTTAGTTTTGGAATCATTTCTGAGTAGAAGACTTGGGGATCCAGAGCCACGTGAGCTTTCTCTTTGTAGTCATGCAGAAAGTATGTGCTGAAGCTGGGCTTATCTCTGGATGGGGTTTTGTTTTGTTTTGTTTTAAACTGATGTGACTCTCTAGGTCATCTGGAGGAGTGTGTGCTCCCGAGGAAACCAGTTTTCTGATGGCTTAGGTCAGCTCATGTGAACACCGTGTGTCCATGCCATGTCAAGACTGACTACACCTTGACTCGGCCCCTTCCCAGGGCCTGCATGCTTGTCTCTTCCTGTCTGCTGGTGAAGCAGCCTCCTCATCTAGAGGACTTGGACATAGCTCAGAGGAGTTGGTGACTTACATCCAGGCTAGTCAAGTCCCTGGCACTGATGCTCCTGAAGACAGATACCCTCAGTGCTCTTCCTGTTCCCTGGATCTCAGCAGGTTCTAGCCAGAGGCTGCTGTTGTCTAGCAGCTGATGAGTGGAAAGGTCTCTGTTTCTCTGCAGTCCCATAAGCCCCCAGCAGGAGGCAGGAGTTAGGGGGTTGGGAAGACAGATTTGTTCCTGTGATTCCATTTCAGATTAGTAGCACATTTCCCAGAGGAGAGCTGTTGGTGGTCTGACTTGAATAGCTGGCATGTGCCCTGGAGGGCTGCCCTTCTGGTGCCTGACGCCATCTTTCCCAGGGTGTCTGCTGTGGGGCAGATGGGGAGCTGGTATAAACTGGGCACAGTGGCACACTGTGCAGATGCCTGGCTACTGCCTTCTCCAGGCTCCTTGTGTTTTTAGTGCTCCCTTTTGGTCTTTATACCTATGACTGGGCCTGATTACATAATCTTGCAAATAGTAACCAAAAGTGTGGCTAGGCATGCTATTAGCTCATAGCCATCTTAGGAGGTTCCCCTGCTGACCACTGTATCCATAGAGAAGGCCTAAGCCAGCATCGAGGGCAGGCTTCATGACATGTTTAAACATGTCAAAACTTCCAACAGGGACAGGGAATCCTGGCCACTGACAGTCAGATGGCCTGCTTCTGGAAGATGCCCCTGAGGTTCCTTTGAGCACAGTTCAGAGAGTTCTGGGCCCACAGTGACTTGTGTTGTGTCCTGTTCTGCACTGGGAATCTCTGCCCTGGGAAACATCTCTGAGTGTCCTGAAGTGACCTTAACCTGGGCTTTAGTTCAGGGAAGACCAACCTCAGCCCAAGTGAGGTGGTTGCATGTGGTATCACTTGACCCTGGGGGCTTCAAGCCATCCCTGAAGAAGAAATCCTCACTGTGTCCTAGGTGCCATAGGGTCCTCTCAGGACTCATTACTCAGGTTTCCAAGGGAAATATTTACTCCCAAGCTGCTGATGGCAGCAGCCAAGCTCACTGAGCCATACCACAGGGGATCCCAGAGCCGACAGGAAGTTGCATTCACTCACACACACTCAGTTCAGTTCAGTTCTGGAAGTCAGTGAGCCAGACTCCCTCAATGAGGCACTTTTCTTCCTCCCGCCATGCTGGCTGCCCATAGTTTTACAGTACTGGGGAGGCCAGAAAGTTTGGTTGCTTTGGCTGAGTTTCACATAGAGCTGTTGGCTCCTCAAAATGAAGTGGCAGAGGGCAGCAGGCCACCCTGGCCATTTCCTGATTAACATATAGATCCTGTCCAGCAGGACCCATGGCTGGAAATCCTCACCTTGACCCTGCACCCCTCTGTCAGGGACTCCCCACAAGGTGGTGCTTTTCAGTCTCTATACACTAATGACATTCAGGCCTTTTGTTCCTCACCTCAGTTCTGAATGGGCGAGTTCACATCCGTGACTGGCGGCAAGAACTGCAGAAGGAAAAGCCACCAGAAGTCAAGCGGAGCCTGTCTGCAGACGTGTTCAAGACGCGAATCTGCTGGTTCTTCACTCACCATCCTGATGGCTGTGCGCTGCCTGCTGCCTGTTGCCCCTTTGCCCATGGGCCTGAGGAGCTACGCTTGACCCAGACCTCAAAGAAGCAGAGACAGGCTCCCTGAGTCACTTCCTCAGTGATCTCTAGCTGGTGGCTCTGTGACTCTCCTGCCTGTCTCTCCTGTCCTGATGACACCCTGTTGGGGCTAGCTTGGCTTCAGTGTGACCTGTCGGTATGCATAGCCACTGTCAGTTACTGGCACACATCTCCAGGCTGCAGAGCCTGCTCAGCCCCTCTCAGACTGCCCTGACGTCAGAGCCATCATGTCAGCTTCTACACACATGGCCTTCTCCTCCTCAGGGCTGCGAACCCCAGGTTCCCTCTACCTGGGAGCTGGCTGCAGGGTGATCACAGTCTCCTGCAAGCAGAGACACAAGGCTTCCTATGAGGCTATTATCAGAGTCCTAGAAAGAGCGGTTTCCAGAGTCAAACCCTGCCACCCTGTATTCCAAGGCATGACTCAGAGTGAGCACTGCCCCAGCCTCACCCTTCTCTTTGGAACCCTATCCCCAGAAGTGTTAGACAGTTTTTCCCTTCAGAAAAAAATTATTTCCATTTAAATTTATTTTTGGTCTTACAAAAAGGTGCCACTCACTGCATCTCTGCTGAGTGTCTTGGGAACCAACCTCTGAGGTGTCATCTGAGTGAAGGGAATGAAGTCTATTTATTCTGAGAGCTGAGGGCTCTGCAGCATCTTGGGGCAGGGCAGCCGCCATGGGGTCTTGGTCCCAGCTGATGAGAACCCACAGAGCTTACTTCCACCTCTTTCCTTGCCAGTTTGGCAGACACCACTCCCAGAGCAGTGACAGTGATCTGCACTCAGGCAATATTGCCACTGCTCTTGGATGGACTAGGCTGTGTATCCTCAGGAACCCAGGGCTCCCTCAAAGCGGGCAGTCTCTGTCCTCATTGGCCTGGCCCTGCCTGTAATTGCCTTTTTCTCCCAGGTCCATGGGGGCCCAGCAGCTGTGGAGCTCTCTCCCAACCTGGCTTCCTGTCTGAGGAGGCAGCATTTGGTCACAGACCCTGCAGGTGCCTGGAAATCTAAGCATGGTCCTCAAGGACAGAGTGAGGCAAGGCCCCCATTGGCAGTGGGTGTGGCCCTCCCTCAGATTTTCCTGGTGCCCCATGTTAAGACAGCTAGACTGAGGTGGGACTACAGTCTTAGATTTCCACCTTTTCTAGTTCACAAAGCCTCATGCTGAAGTCTGGCTTCTAGAAGATACCACAGAAGCTCATTCAGAATGAGCTGTGAGCTCACTTTCTCCCCATGGCTGCATTCAGTGAGGACAACATCCAGAAGCTCCCTGCATGGGAAGAATGTGAGCAGGGTTAGGGAAGTGTGTGTGGAGGAGGTGGGCTGTGCCGGTGTCCCTTAACAATCCTGCTGCATTGTGCTTTCTGGACCAGGGAAGGAAGGATCTGTGTCCATGTTCTCATGGCTCTCCACAGGCCAGCTGACTGCAGCAGCAGCAGGCCAGTTCCCACCTGTGTCACATCACACAAGTGATGGCCCTGCCCACATTCAGAACAGGCTGGTCAAACACATGAGCACCAATGAGTAAGGATCTCAGCCCTGTGTCTGTCAGCCACAACCCATGTTCACACTGTTCCATATCTTCCCAAACACCATCACCAGCTGGTGACCAAGTGTCAAACACAAGCCTTGGGGGGACATTGCACATTTACACGTAACATTCTCCTTTTGACTCCACCTCACTCCCAAGTGGGTCAGTCAGGTTGCTCCAAAGCTCACATGCCATAACTTCAAATACAGCCAGGTTTGGAAATGGAGCCTTCATGAATATGATGGGTTATGAAGGGTTAGAGTGGATCCTAAAAAAGTGTCAGTGTCCCTGGGGATGAATACAAACAGTGATGAGTGATGGCCACAAGCCAGAGATCCCCAAGAACTGGAGGAGGCGGGAGGACACCCTAGAACCTGAAACAGCCTGAGATCATTTTGGATCAGATGCTGGCTTTTAGCTAGCACAGGTAGGTCACATGAGACTTGTGTGGGAGACTAAGGTCATTCCAGTACCAAGGACTATAGCCTGGTGATCTACCTTCCCAGCATGAACAAGCATAGCCTCAGAGACCCCCAGTCCAGGAATATCCAATGTAAAGGTCCTGGATAGCCAGCAGTGTCAGTAGACCTGGGTCTTAGGCACAGGCTCCTTGGTCCTGAGAGGGAGGTGGGAAACAGACCTACTCTTGCCATTCCAGACTCAATCCTGAACCAGCTAGATGGCCTAAAAGATAGTATCTTTGCTGTTACCCTTCCATCTGATGAGACGCAGAAGGCAAGTCATTTGCTCGAGGCCACACAGTAGCCTACATCACCAGAGCTAGAGCCCATGCCTGCCTGGCCCATGTGCTCTGAGACTTGCAGGTGCAGGGGTTATGAATCCCTCTGTGAGCAACCCCAATACCACAGCAGGTACTGGGTGCAGGGATGGTTTCAGAACTGGCTTTAACCAGAGATGTTCCTTAGGACATTCTGTTTGATTAGCTAACATCTTGGCCAGGCCTTGGGTCAGCTAAAACCAAAGTACAAGCCAGAGTCGTTCCCCACCCCAGGCCAAGCAAGACTTGTGCTCAGAGCACACACTATGGCCAGGACTCTGCACTACTCAGTGCCCACTTACCCAACTTGCCTTCCATTCTGGGCTCTGCCAGATCCCAGGTCCTTATGTGACCTAGCCAGTCCCTTGGACTCTCTCAGCCAGGGCCAGGGACACAGCAGTTCTAAGTGCTGAGTGTGCACTTCTGCCGAGTAGTGGAGAGGGCTGCAGGCCTGGTTCTTGGCCTCTCCAACAGGGAGGCTCCAACGGGCCCACGTCTGCAGACCTCAAGCCAATTTTTGTATGAGTGAAGCAGTTGGAACTGCAAATGGAGAAGCTGCTAGTCTGCTTGGGTGGGGCTTGGCTACTGGCTCAACCCCTTGAGACTCCCCTGCAGAGGGCATCTGGAAGGAACAGGAAAGCTCACTGGCCTGGGATGGAGCTTCCACATCATGGCCCAAATGGCAACCAGTCAAGGAGTCAGCCTGTGGCCTGGCAGGACCATAAGCCTGTGACATACCAGCTTCTCCTTGTCTGGCCTGCGGGACCAGCAATCACCCACCTACCCTGGTGATACCTCTAGCACTGAGCCTGCCAGGAGCCAGAGACAAGCTGTACCTTCCCATGTGTGAGGCTGGCTTCTACAGTGCACTGTGATCTTCCATCCTACCTGAGCCCAAAGGAGTCCCTGACCAGCAGCCAGGCAGCATCTCCAGTGGGAAAGTGAATAAGGAAGGACGTTTCCTCTAGCTGCTTGGCTCTCCAGAAATCCTGAGCCATGTGGCAGTGATTTGTTCTGCTGTGGACCACTCCAGAGCAAACAAGGCAAAGCCCAAGAAGGCGTGTCAGAGGAGGAGGCCCAGAGGCAGAGAGCAACCCAGAGCCTCCCACTGAGTTCTGAAGCCATCTCCTACTCCATATCTCCTCCCCTCCTTTTCTCTTCTGTTCCTCCCTCCCTCCTTCCCCTTCTACTTGCAGAGTTGAAAGGGTATTAGAATGGACCCACTCACAGCCCACAGGCTGTGCTCTGGTAACGGCTGGGATCAGTTCTGTGTCCGTAAGGGTGCTGCCTTGACCCTGCCCTCTTAGTTGGATGAGCTGAAGCTCCAGACAGGACATGGAAACAGGCCTGGCTGGCAGGGACTTCTAAGAATGTGAGCTGGGATTGCCATCATGGAGTGGGGAGCCTGAGGCTGTGTCCCAGGCTCAAATACATCTCTAGCTACAGGGAAGGGAGACAGGCTGGTGTCACTCTAGATTGTCTGAGACCTCACTACTGGAGTATTCCTTCCTGCCTCCTGTGAGGTACTAAGTATTACTAATTGTGCTGACTAGTTTTATATCAACTTGACACAAGCAAAAATTATCTGAAAAGAGGGAACTCAATTGAGAAACTGCCTCCATAAGATCAGGCTGTAGGACATTTTCCTGATGAGTGATTGATGGGGGAGGACCCAGCCCTTTGTGGGTGTCGATATTCCAGGGCTGGTGGACCTGGGTTCTACAAGAAATGTTGAGCAAGCCAGTAAACAGCATCTTTCCATGGCCTCTGCGTCAGCTCCTGATTCCAGTCCTGTTTGAGTTCCTGCCTTGACTTCCCTCAGTGATGAACTGTCACCTGGAAGTGTAAATTGAAATAAACCCTTTCCTTCCCAAGTTTGGTCTTGGTCGTAGTGTTTCATCACAGCAATAGAAAATCTAAAAAGGGGGGAAAGGGGCAAGATCTGAGCAAATTGGGAGCACGGGGGGGGGCGACGGACGACGACTGGTGAGGAAGGTAAGAGAAAGATAAGGGGAGACAGGAGGGGAGGAGAACATGAGGGATCAGGAAGATCAAGTTGGGGGAAGAACAGAGAAGGAGAGCCAGGAAAGAGATACCTTAATAGAGGGAGCCATTATAGGTTTAAAGAGAAATCTGGCACCAGGGAATGTCTGGGGATCTATAAGGATGACCCCAACTAAGAATTTAAGCAATAGTGGAGAGGCTACCTTTAATGCCCTTCCCCTATAATGAGATCGATGACTATCTTAAATGTCACCTTACAGCCTTCATCCAGTAGCTGATGGAAGCAGAAGCAGACTCACAGCCAAGCACTGAGCCGAACTCCTGGAACCCAGTTGTAGAGAGGGAGGAGTGATGAGCAAAGGGCTCAAGACCATGCTGGAGAAACTCACAGGAACAGCTGACCTGAGCAAGTGGAAGCTCAGGGACCCCAGCTGGGGAACCAGCATAGGACCCAACTATGCCCCCGAATGTGGATGTCAGTTGGGAGGCCTGGGCAATCTATGGGGCCTCTGGCAGTGGAACCAGTATTTGGGGAGGGTTACTCTCTCAGCCTAGTGGGGAGGGCCTAGGTCCTGCCCCAAATGACATGTCAGATTGTGATGATCCCTCCAGGGAGGCCGCACCCTCCCTGGGGAGTGTTTGGCGGGGTGGGATGGGATGTTGTTGGGGGACATGGGAGGACTGTGGGGGACTGGGATTGGTATGTAAAATGTGATTGTTTTTAATTTACATAAAATTGATTAAAAAAAAAAAAGAAACCCTAACTAAGACAAGTTGGTACCAGGATAGTGCGGTATTGCTGTGTCAGGCCAGACTATGTTGTTTTAGGGAGATTGTGAAAGGACTTTGGAACTTTGAGCTAGAAAAGCCACTGAGTGTTGAGAGCTCAGTGGGATGTTCTGTGGGAGCCTGGGAGATAAGAATGTTGAGAGCACTGCAGAGGGGGTGCGGGGTGGGGGGCTGGTTTGTGAAGCTTTAGAGGGAAACTTCTAAAGCAAAGACTACATTGTGTAAAGTATCTGTGGTGTCTGGTCACCTGGGGCTGAAGAGTCAGCCATGGGTAATAAAAGACTGGCTCTATTGAAGTAAATCCTCTGAGTTACTGGGACAATGGATGCTGGTAAGCTGGAGCTGAGAAATTAGCAGTGATTAAGAAGAGACTGGCTTCACTGAGATGGAATCTTCTGGGCAGTGTTCTTGAGAGTTAGCACCCAA